CTTCATGACATTTGGGTGGTGAGCGATAACCCTCTAAAGCCTGACCTGTGAAATAATTGCCAGAAAATTCTAATTTTTTAACTGTCTGATTAAAAATTAAATATTAACTTACATATATATCATTTGTATAATATTTGCTACTTTTTGTGTAATTAAAGATTTATTGTGCTATTTAATTTGTTTCTATTCAGGGGGGAATAACACTGATGATACAGACATCTGAAAAACTTACTAAATCTCATCAAATATGACATACTTGGTGTTATAGGGTTAAAAGTAAGAGGCTCAATGCCACAATGAAAAAAAAAACATAAAAAATGGTGAAGTTTCCTAATAATTAATTCCCCAGCAGCAGTCCTTGTAATGATTTGCTAATTTGCTCTCTTCACAGTATAAAGAAAAATAAAATGAAATCATTCTTATTAGAATTTATTAGAATATATTTTTGAGCAAAAATAAATTAAAAAGTCTGTTTTTTTTTGTATGGGTTTAAATGTTAGGCATTAATAGCATTGACAGCACTAATGCTTTTTCCTTTAATCTGTGTATTCATCCATGTGTTTATTAGCCTACATATAGGCTATATTTATAATTTGTGTCATTACTCCCACACAACTCTCTGGCTCAGTAGGCTGTTTATTTGTCTAGAGGCTGGAAGTCTGTTTAATCAGATTAAAAAAAATAACCAACTGAAGTTGGCTTTTTTATTTACACTTTATAAATATAGATATATAGTGTAAGAAATGAATTATCGCACAGTCAAAGGCCCTTGATTCATCCAGTTTCTCAAAAGCAAGCATCTAAAACCCAAAACTGCCTGCATGGCTGGATGCTGCTGCACGGAGCTGTTTTTGGTGAACTGATCCTTTAATGTCCTTTAATGCAGTGTGGTTTAAATCCCAGCTGTGAAAGTAGCTTAAAGAGATACAAACTGTTCTAGAGGATTACAATAAAATTGTTTTTCTGAGCAGCAGTGAGAAACAGCTTCGCTGTGTGTGTGTGTGTGTGTGTGTGTGTGTGTGTGTGTGTGTGTGTGTGTGTGTGTGTGTGTTGGGGTGTCAGTCCTCGAGCTGTGGTGAGCCTCCCTCCCCCCTGAGTAAACTAGCCCCAGCATCTGTTAGTCTTTTCCACTTAACTACCCCTTGCTAAATCCAACGTGTACTTATCCCACGGTAGAGCGCCTTGCTCCGTCTCACATTGAGTCCCTCTGTCCTTGAGAAGGACGTCTGTTGTGGATGTCGACCCCTGCCCACACACACCCACAGACACACACGCACACACACACACACACACACCCTGCCTTTGACCTATAGAAAAAGAGTGTGAGTGCAGCACACCCCTACATTCATATATTCTGCTATTTTTTGCCTCCGTGCAGCAAAATATGCCATGATTAATGGTTCTGCCTCTGGAAACGCTCGCTCACCCTCCGCGTGCTGACCAAAAAGTAAGAGAGCCTGTTAAAAAAGTAATTCATTCACACAAGCACCTTATGGTCTGAGCTCACATGACAGGTCTGGACGAGACTTTAGATTGAAGTCATTCCTATTTATTCCTGCCAGTTAAATTAAAACGCAGCTCTCGGGGCAACAGGGCACCATAAACACAAAATATAGAGTTATACAAGCAGCAGAGCGGCAACGAGACACAGGAGTAAACAGAAGATACCGATCTGTGGCCTCGGCGTTATTGAAGCCATATTCGTCGAGCAGTCAAACTTGGAGAGCAGAGCTGTACTTGAGGCCCTGCTGGGACAAAACAGCTGTAAGGCCAAACTCACAGAGGCCTGGCTGTTCTGGTTTTTAACAGACGAGGGCGTCGTTTCTGTGCTTTCTTTCAATAACTGCACAGCAGGGTGGCTCAGTTCGACTTTCAGTCTGTCTGGTGTTGACTGTGGGAGTCATATTTATTACAACAGGAGTTTTTTGTGAAGTGAGCCACATTTTATAAAACAGAAGAAAAGATTTAGTAGCTATTTTTTCCCCTTGTAAGTAATCACTAAATCTACAGCTTTCACAACACTTTATCACCCTTGGATTAAAACAAATCCTCAACTAATACAAAGACTTACAATTAAAAAGTATTTAGTCTAAAACTAGGCTTAGGCTAAGACTAATTTTTAAAAACAGGGTTAAATCACATACAAAAATACAGCCTTTTACAGGCTTTTAGCTGTGTGTTGTTTTGGTTTTTTTTAAATGTAGTTGAAATTTATTTTTCAAGTATTTATATGCAAAAGTTGATCTTTAAAAAAAATATGTTATCTTTCCTGTGGGTTTTGTTTTTTAAAAAGATGTTTGAAGATGTGATGCCCATCCTTCCACTGATACCATTTCTGATGAGGCTTCAGTGACCAGTAGATGGATCAACTGAAGGTCCAGCTACACCTTGCTTGTCCTGTGCCAGTTTTTTTGTTTGTTTTTGTTTCTTAAGAATATGGCGTTCAGATACCGTTTATCGGCTGTAGATAGAAAAATCTTTTTTCTTTCCTCAAAGATAAACTGCTGAGATATATTTTGGAATCACCTTGCTGGTGTAACAATCCCATCTTACGCCTGTCGAATTGTGTTATCTTTGGCATTTCTAATAAACTCAGCTGGAGGCATGGGAAGAAAGTATGTTAATAGCAGCCTGTCAGAAAAACACCAAGTACCTTAAAAAACAATTATTCTCTGAAAATGGTCAGGCCCTTGGAAGCAAAATATAAAGAAAAAAGGGATAGTTCAAGGCTTTTGCACAATGCTGTGCATAATTAATGTTTAGTTATGTACATATTTAGCATAAAGCCCAATAATATCCTTGCTGTCCACCTTCATTTTATTGTACAAAAAGAAAAAGTAATAAATAATTTAAAAAAGCATCCGTCCTCACTCAGGACTCATAATGACATTACTGCTGATGGCTCATAGTCAGCGCACCACTATGAGCCATCTACTTCCAGCTTTCTGTCAACAAGTGACAGAATATGTAGGAGCCTGAATTTGAGTGTAGACTCTGTCCGTTACTTATTTTGGCACTGGTGGAGGGCAAAATGCCACGATAGCCTCGTGTAGTAGTTCCTGCTTCTGAGTAAGCAGGAAGAGGCAATTTATCCCACATTCACCCAAAGCTGAGTTCATTCAGGACTTTCAGGTCAGGTCATTTCACATCTGCTGCTGCACAGTGCACCAACTGTGTGCCCGTCTTATTCTGTCTGCAACGTGTGCTGAATATAATATAATGAACCTTTAGAGATTTACAGACAAGAAATTAACATATATTATGTAAGCGAATGAGAGCGCAGTCCATATGTAATGCAGTGTTTAAAAAACACAGTCCTTCGTAAATTAAATTGGACGCTCATATTGATCATGACCAAAGTTTAAAATAATGAGGTCAGTGTATTTACTGTAGAACTAACTCTGTAAAACCTCATTCTCAGTTTTCTTCTGCTCTCTGTTTTGTATGACATCATTGAGAGCATCTCAGGCACACAGCTCGTGGTGTGAACACGGAAGCCCCACCCACCCGATATTCAAACCTTTTGTTTGTGAGCTGCGGTCAATCAGAAGAAAGTCGTCTTAAAGGAAGATGAACTAAAACTGATTTGTTTCAGACGGTGGATGAACTGAGGATTCTCCACCAAAGCACAGTTTAAAATCGATAAGATAATTTTAATCTGTGAATTATATGAAGCTCTTCTAACAGATTCCAAGAATAAAAATATGGATCTTTTTTTTTTCTGCACTTCTACTTTACGGCACGCCCATAGATCACCTGCCTGACATATGTACAGAGGCTGTGTCCTCACTGCTGTAGCCTGGGTGGTGATTCTGCCTAGAGCCATGTGCTGCGTATCATCTCACCATCCTGTCACTACCTAAAAAAGCCAGGATGGAAAAAATTTACTTCTAATATCCACGGTGATAATAAGAATGAAAAACTGGGTATATATCACCGTATGAGCAATGTAGGCACTGCACAATGTAAAGGCAATCTGTAGAGTTTATCTCTTTCGCTTTCAGACACCAAAACACACTCTGGGTCCCTGTGAGGCTTTTAGTGTTAAACCACTAAGTGTTTTATTAATACATGTTCTAATTTGCATATTTGTGATTAATAAAGTAGAAGACCCAAGTGTAAAAAGTTTAGTGACATTAAAAGTGAAAGAAAACTCCACAGTTACAGGATAAAGACTTAATGTCTGGTAACAGTGTGTAATAAAGGTCTCTTTAATGCGTCACTGTAAGATACATCTGAGATATCAACTGGCAAAAAAATGGGACATGAAAGGTTATTACACAGGATATAAAACTTGTTATTGTTCAGAAAAAGAATTAAACCTAAAAACTGTAGCTGTTAAGTGGAAAAGTGGACACAAGCAGAATATTACCAACAGTGATTTAAGGACACTTGATTGCAAAGTTGGTACGCAGCACAAACTTAACTTAAATAACTTTGGTGTGACTGTATCAGGTTTAATCATCTGATTTTCTGATCCTTTAGTAGTCACTTTCCATCATCCCTAAAACGACTGACAACTTAAGGACCTGAATGACAGCACACCATGGTGCAATGGTGCAGTTCTGATGAAGAGTAATGGCCCTGCCGTGCTCTGAATCGGATGCGCTGTTGTTGTGGTTTTGGTTTTCCACCCACGGCAGGGTTTTCACCCGGGAATTTTCGTGGTGGTAAGCCACCCAGATCCTGGCGCATCTTGTCTTTTGATCAATTTAGTTAGCACATGACGACCTCACACACTTTAAATACATGTCGTTTACTGTTCAAAACACATCCCCGGATGTCTTTCCCTTTTAAGGCTGCATTTCATAAAAAGATTTTTTTCTTATGTTAACGGAAGTGGTCTTTTTTCAGGCGAGGCAGCCAACAGCTTCTGTAAATTGCTGTGTGTAAACCCTGCACTGAATTTAAAGCTTATAGTCGCTCCTCAAAAGTTAGCCTCACAAAGCCAGATTAAATCTCAGTGGATTCTCGGCACTGACTTGACATTAAATCTGAGCTCAGCAGCTCAAAACAAAGCAGATAATTATGTTTAATGACATCTTGGTAATGATGTGACTCACTCAGTCCCGAACCTTGTTTATGAGAGGAGCGGTCCACTTAAAGTTGCACGATTAGCCTCACTGAAAGGCAGATTTATCTCTTTGTCAGAGCGTCCTGGAAACTCAAACCCATCTTATATCGTTTTAGTCACACAAAAGAAACAAAGCAATATTGGTGAGGTGGTTTTGTGAGGCTAACTATAAACACCAAAAAAAAGAAAAGAAAAAAACCCCAGAACAACAGCTGCATTCATGAGGCGTGTTTCTTCTAGCTAGCAGCAGTGTAGAACCACAGCTGTGATGTCGGCTGCCACATCTGGTTTTTGTCAGAGTGCAGGAGCTGCATCTGTCTGGTTCTCAGGTAGAGACAGGTCTGAAAGAGAGGATGCTGGAGGTGGTGTTGGAGGATGGGATGGTGGCTGCATGTCACTGCTGGGCCTCCTCACCTGCAGCGAGCTCCACCTGTGTGATAGCTGTCTCCTCATGCTCTTCTTCTTAGGCTTTCGGGGCCGTCTCCTCTTCTCCTCGCTCGTGGACTGGGGGCGGTCGCTCAGGGTGTCTGAGGACTCGTCAATGTACGCCAAGTTCTCGCCGAAGAAGTCGAGCAGCTGGCAGCTTGGTGAGGGGGCTGTGGTGATGTCAGGGGAGGGAAGGAGGACTTCGGGTAGGGATGTGGGCACAGGGGAAGAGCGAGAAGAAGGACTAGGGTCAGGTGCCTGATTGTGGCTATTGTTTGGTGCAGATTCATAGTTCTCTGCTGGAATCAGTTCATCTTTCCTCTCTGATGTGTCCATATGTGCGAGTCTTACTGATCCCTCCTCCATGCTGCCGATGGTTTGGCACGGCTGGAACTTGTGGGGTGCCATGTAGGAGAAGGAGACTGAGGAGCCATCTGACCTGGAGTTGAATGCAGACTCTGATCCGGAGAGTGACCCTTCCTGCATACGTGCCCCTACAACATCCAGCTGTGAACCGGAGCGGGTTACGGGGACGGAGAATGAGCGGGACAGGTGGTGAGGAAATGACCTGCCCTGCCCTTGCAGAACCCCAGCAGGGTCAGCCCTGTACCCTGCTGCTGATATGGGGACCGTTCCCCCTCCAGCTGCACTCACCTGTGCCTTTGAGTTAGTTCCCCTCACCCCGGACGAATTGTCCTGCAGTTCACTCATGGAGCTCGACAGGCCAGCCCAGTGACTTGACAGATGTCCATTCTCAGGTCCCCCTCGCACCCAGTATCCCAGTGTACCCTGGGCTCCCCGGCGGATGCGTCGGCGCTCGCTACGTTTCCAGCGCCGCCGCTGCAGGAGGAAGGGGTCATTAAATTCCAGAGGATTTGGGATGCGGAAATCCTTGGACATGCTCTGCGTCCAGTCTGTTGCGTGGGCCCTCAGCTCCTCCATCTGACAGGGACACAGGTTAACATTAGCTTTACAACATAGAAGAGCTGACACAAGTTTAGGTGTCTCTCAGATAACATTTCTGGAGTCTCCCACCTCAGCACGAGTCCTTTTAGACAGCACCCTCAGCCAGTTGCCTATCATGGTGAGGATGGAGGCAAAGTAGGCAAGACCAAACACGATCCACAACAACACCAGAAGCTTGAAGAAGCTGTTGTCTTCAGTACCTCCAACTCCATGCAGAGAAAGTTGATTTAATTTTTAATGTGATGTTCCAGTGAACCTCACAGAACAGAAATGACAGAAAGAGGCAGTCCTGTACAAAGTTGACCATTCATCATTAATTAAACCTCAGCGGGGGGGAGACTACAGCTGTAACTTTGTGGGTGGATAGATAAACCTCGTTTTTGGGTTATTTGTATATAAATGTCATATAAATTGTGAGTGAGTGATATGTTCAGGCTGTTTGACCTCTGACAGAAACAGACCACAACCCAAATATATGCAGTTTATCATGAGAATAACGAAGAAAAGAGCAGAAAAACAATTCATATTTGTGTTAATTAGAGGTTTCATATAAAAGGGCATGGAGGTGCCTAGGTCGCGGCGTTCTGAAGTTATTGCATTCACATTTTTTTCAGAAAACTTGCCCTGTTATTCAAATTTGTTCCGTCAATACAACTATGATATCAATTTGAAATGCCTACATCATCTAACTTGAGGTATCGCATTCACAAACTTGGGTGTCCACACCGCCCAGGTGACGAGAATACCCCATCAGACTTTCAAGGCAGAGGGCTAAAAAGCACTCCCTCAGCAGAGGATCACACTTACAGACTGTCATTTGGAAAAGGATCTGTGAAAATGCCCATAACACCACCATTAAACTGAAACACTGAACATAATCTGCTCTAGACCAGGTTACATGTTCAGCGTATGTTGCTACAACTTCACCAGGTAAAAAAACGAACAACCATCAACTTGTTGTCCATATTGATTAAAATGTGTGTGTGTTTGGTCTGTACCTGGTACATAGTCTCCAAAGCCAACAGTGGTAAGCGTGATGACCACAAAATAGAGCGACTCCAAGAACTTCCAGTTTTCCACTTTCTGAAACACGACTGTCGGCACAGCGAGGAAGATCAGACAGCCAATTAGGATGGAGAGAACTGCTGAGGTGACACGCACAGTCGTGGGCCTGACCTTGCGTTTCTATCAGAGAGAAAGATAGAAGCCAATACAGATGCAGAATAAATCAAGATCAACACAGCTATACATGTAACAAAAAAGTGCAAGAATTAAACTAGATTAAACCAAAAAGGAAAAAGAATTGTCTGGATTCAGGCTGAATGTTGAGATTTGTCAGCTTTTTATTGGTCCACACTGGCATCTTCATCACATGTCTGCATCTCAGGATTATTTTCTTTCTTTATACTAAAGTCATGGACTGAAGATGTAACAGTGGGGCAGCTTTAATACCCATCTGTTTGAAAAGTCCTGAAAGAATAAACAAGTACAACATGACTTGACTATGGTGACCATGATACTCTTGAATAAGGCTGCTGTCCGGTTGCTCTAAGCTGTGGCTAAAGTGCTGATTCAGCTGATCTGACTCTAATGCGGGTTTTATATGAAAATTCACTTACAAAGACAGTTTTTGTGATTTTTATTTTATTTTTTGTGGAGAAATAAGGTTCCAAGAACAGCTTTATTTAGTAGTTCAGCTTTTCTGGTAGGACTCTGCAGCCCAACTGACAAACATAATCTCTGCCTGGGTTCCCTGCCTAGTCGGACATGTACAAAGCAGCTCATTTAGGAGCTGCCAAAATCAGATGCCCAAACTGGCTCCTTTCGATGTTAAGGACTCTATTCTGAGCTTCTACCAAGTGACCAAGCTCTTCACTTTATCTGTAAGGCTGAGCCCAGACATTTGGTTCTTGCATGGTTCTAACTTGCAACTTAGAGAGAACCAAACAGTTTACTGCGTAGAGCACTGATAAGAAGTCTGTGCCTTGTAGGTTTAAAGCTGTTTACTCCTAAGTTTTGGCTGATGGGCAGGACAGACCATTCTCACCAGGAAGAGGGTCTCAATCTTGGCCACAGCTCTCCGCAGCACCGTGCCCATGTGGTCGCCCACTCCAGCGAGAAGTATGCCAAACATGGGGATGCCAACCAAAGCGTAGCACACGCAGAACAACTGGCCGTAAGGCGTCCGAGGTGAGAGGTTCCCAAAGCCTGTTTGAAGGATTAATCAAAAAGACATGACGCTAGTTATAAAAGCTGACATGCACAAACAATTTAAAGAGGGACCTTGTGTAATTATTTTAATTAGTAGGGCGTATTAGAAAATATTCATCAGCTGTGACTCTACAATTCATGAATACTTTGTTGACCAGAAAAATAAAGCTACAGTTTGATCACATTTTAAGTAGCGTCTTTGAAACAAGGACATAAATAAGCTCTAGTGTGACATTTATCAAGCCATAAAAACACCTGCAGGCTAAATCCTTGCAAATTTAGATACCAAACTACATTTAAATGCTTCAGTGAAAACAATGCAGGTAACACTTTCTCAGAAAAGAGAATCTCAACAGTGCATCAGGTGGATCATTTTGTCACTCAGAGAGCAATGTTTCCCCTGCAGGTGAGCTCTGTCACTTACCTATGGTGGTGATGATGGTGCCACAGAAGAAGCAGGCAGACGCGATGTCCCAGCGAGTGGTCAAGTTGGCAGGAACTCTGCTCACATTCAGGCCTGCCTCGACTGCAGACATCAAACCCTGAAGGAATTTAATTTTTCATCCAAGTTTTATCTATTTGTTCATTTTATTTACTCACATTATGGGTGTATTTATAATGCATGGACCTCGTAGCGTACATAAAGAACGATATTAAGTAAAATCTGGAAAATAAAAGCAGCACGTGGTAAACAGTAGGAACTTAAAGAGAATATCTCTGTGCTACAGAATACCTTGGCCTGAGAGGTGTGTGTGTGTGTGTGTGTGTGTGTGTGTGTGTGTGTGTGTGTGTGTATATATATTTATTTATTTATTTATTAGGGGTGCAACGATACTCGTATCGATATTGAACCGTTCGATACAGTGCTTTCGGTTCGGTACGCATATGTATCGAACAATACAAATTTTTAAATTTATTTTATCAACTTTCCTTCTGACAATGCTGTCTGTGTTGAGCGCAGGGCAAGCTAGCGAGACAGAAGTTAAGCAAATTGAACCTCCCCCACCCTCATTCAGATCTGGCGTTTGGAACTATTTTGGTTTTCATGTGACGTATGACCCTGAAGGTAAGCGAGTCACGGACTAAAGTAAAACAGTATGTTGGATGTGCCATGCAATGCTCAATTACATGGGTGGGAACTAGTGTGTTAGCGCAGTTAGCTCGTTAACGTGTTGGCCGTCTAGCCCCATGCACGGGGCGATCGGCGGTAGCTCGTTAACGGAGATTTGCCATGTTGTGGTGTTAAGGTCATTTCAACGAGATTAACCTGAAAGCACTAGTGGGAACACAACGAATATGACTGCACATTTACGCCGACATCATCCTAGTGCAAAGACAAAAACAACAAGCATGCTACTAACTTTAGCCGAGTCATTTAGACAGCTGTTAGCACATGATTCTCCTTATGCTGCTGAGAATGTAACCCAGAAGAAGCGGATAGTATAGCTTTTATTTTGGAAAGAGCCATTTCTCTGTAATAAACTCTCTTTTCCAAAGATGCATGATTCCTCAATCAGATAGGGCTTGCAATATCGCTAGCCTGACGTCCTGGGGCTAGCGATTTTTTCAGTCGGGCTACCAAAATCTATCTCTTCCCTGCCCGTCGGGCTATTGTAAGAAGGAAAAATATATGTCAATGCTTTTGCATTCTTTCAGAAATGTAGCTGGGTAATTATGTCATTGGCATCGGTGAGCCACTGTCAATATGTGACATATTGAAATCGCGTTTGAATTTGCGCTTGTTTTTTTGCTTTCACTTTGCAATCGTGCGAACTGTGTATAGAGAGCGACAGCACTGATCTGTGAGTGATGATAATTTGTGCACCAATTCCTCTGACATCGTCTTATTAATCGTTAGCTTACTATGCAAACATGACAAGTGAAATCTCCCGCAGCTTAAACATGTGAGAGGTTGATCGCGCAGAGAATCGCTGAGCTTATGTGAGTGCGGCAGGATATATATTTCACTACAATGACCTGGATGACTGAGAACCTTCACAGACAGATATATATTTTAGTTCTGCTGAGCCAAATAAGACAGGTCAGGGTGAAGAAGTGACAGCCAAAGAAAAGCTTACCACAAAACGGAGAAGTTATGACAAATCAGACTATAAGGCAAAAAGAAAGTGCAGCTTTATGGTTTCATGGACAAAATAATTTCTGTGGCTGCAATATGACAAGCTAAATAACCAGGGCTGCACATAAGTGGTCCGCAGGTGCGCATTCGCTGTCAAAATAAAAAACACGCACAAGGGTTAGGGTTAAATTTAAAAACTGTACTTTTGAGTTAAAATATATATTTATAATTTTAATAAATGACAAATTAAAAAGGCATGAACATTTTTTTTGTATCGAAAAAACCGTGACACCAAAGTATCAAACCGAACCGTGAATTTTGTGTATCGTTGCACCCCTAATATATTATTTTTATTTATATATATATATATATATATATAAAAAACATGACATTAACGCCATAATAAGGCAAATCTCCGCGGATGGCCCCGTGCGTGGGGCTGGATGGCGTCAACACCTTAACGAGCTAACTGGCTAACGCACTAGTTCCCACCAATTGAGCATTGCGTGGCACATCCGACATACTGTTTTACTTTTGTCCATGATGCGCTTACCATCTGGGTCATGCTTCACATGAAAACCGAGATAGTTCCAAACGCCAGATCTGAATGAGGGTGGTGGAGGTTCAATTTCGGGTAGCGTTGAGGCAGTTCTGTCTCGCTAGCTTGCGCTCTGCTCAGTGGATCTGCGCTCGACAGTGCAGCCTAGGCGGAGTAGTCACGCAGATCCACTGAGCGCTCAACACAGACAGCATCGTCAGAAGAAAAGTTGATAAAATAAAAAATTTTGTATTGTTCGATACATATGCATACCGAACCGAAAGCACTGTATCAAACGGTTCAATATCGATAGAGTATTGTTGCACCCCATATATCCTGCTGTTCAAACCTTCTGTTTCCCTTCTGTCCAAGGGACAGCCAATCAGAAAAAAGATCGTTAAAAGGACGTGTTTCAACACCTTGTTTAATGTGAGATTAAGAAAAATACATGTAGTCTGGAGGATTATGTTCCACTCGAATTCAGACTTTGTGAAGCTCAATTTCAAATTAAAACATTCAAGTTACAAAATCCCATCTGGTTTGAGCGATAATGTTACTACAGCAATTTGGTTATTTACATTTACATTCAGCATCTTTAATTTGCTGTTAATCTAATACAGACTGGAAGCTTCGGCCTTCTGACGGCACACTTCTAAATATTTACTCACTAATGTTATACAGTGTGCACTTTAAAACAGCTCAGCTGTGCTGACATAACTTCATTTACATGGAAACAAATCGAGTAAGCCTAAAAAATATAAATACTTCAGTGCTACTTACTTTGACCACCTATCCCACACAGGTGATATGACCCCAGATATTTCTGTTTTGTTTTTTCCTATTTCCGTTTTTCCTAATTCCGTTGTGTTTTGTGAGCTTTTGCAGCATTTTTCTTATTGCTGGTGTTTACTTAAGTTGCAGTCCATTTGGCCTCTCAGGGCCACCGTAAATAAACCATATTTTAAAGCTGCTTCAGAGTGTGAGTGGGATAATAGTGACGTACTGTGTCCACTGATACCTGTACAAGCTCGTGAAAGTCCGACTCGGTGACGCAGTAGTTTTTCATGAGGAATTCTTTCTTGGTTTCAAGCAGCTTTTCATGTGCCAAGGTCTCTGTGGGCTTTTCCAGGGTGACAAAAACAAACGCTCCCATCACCAGGTACAACATGACTCCCACCAGCAGGGTGGTGAGGGTAGTGCACCGCATTTTCTCCCCGCCTTTCTCCCTGCCCCTCCAGGGTTAAAGGGTCTCAGCTCACAGGTCCAGATCTGGTTGGGATCTCAGTCAGGATACAACTGGCCATAAACAGGAAGTTCCTTTAGAGAGGTGCTACATGTGCAAGCACGGAAATATCTTTTATTAAAAAAAAAAAAAAAAAAAAAAAAAAAGCACCACAAGTGTTCTTGGAAGGCATCTGTGCATCAGGCCCAAACCTGAGAGTCGCTGACACCAAACGTGACAAACTACTAACATGGTGGAAAATAATGACAGGCACTTTAATTTAGTGAGACTTTCATGGCTTGATTAGTATGACTGTTATTAGACAGGTGATTGAGTGAATCCAGGTTGTAAAGTGTTTACTCTTACAGTTGGCACACAGTGTGGATGTTTCAGAGCTGTTGCACAAAACGTTTTCTGCATTAAAGGTGGGTCCTTAAGCCACACTGCATGTACACTGAGCGACTCGCTGGTCTTTTAATTAACATTCAACTAGTCCAGCTTGTCCAAAAGCAGAGCTGTCACTGATGCGATAGCTATTGTAAGAGGTATACGTGACAAACAAGCCGTCCTCTTTCAAGTTTACAGTGTTATAAGACTTCAGATGTTCGTGTCGGTGGGTACTTCCCAACGTTATTCAAGATTTTAATCACAAAATTGTTCTTTAAAAGCTTTTTGCATGAAACAGACTGGATTTTTTTTTTTTTTTGCCCTCGTTTCTCAAGCCCTCAGGTAAGATTAAAAGGTGAGGCACAAAAGAGCATTCATGATGTTGCACTTTGAGAAATAGCATGCAATCTGTTACAAGGCCAGCTGATGAAAATGACACACCATAGACCAACATTTACTTGCCAATTGATTCTGGATTTTTTTTTTCAGCATACATGTAAAAAGTAAATGAGATAAATATAAATATAAGCCCTAATTTCAAGTCACAGAGATGCCTGTCCAGCTGTTTCCTCAGGTTACACTGAGGAAAGAGGCAGGTAAAATCAGTAGACTGACAACTTTGCTTAGACAAAGATCATTTCCACTGACGCAGTGTGAGATGTTACTGACGTTGGGACTTGTTTAACTTGGAGTGTGACAAGAGACACTCCTAAAAACAAACCATATCTTAAACCCAAATCGAGATGTGGTTCTTTGAAATGGAAAAAAGGTGCTGCGCTTTAAGAAATGCATCCAGCGTGATCATAGTCTAATACAGCAACAGCGATACTATCCTATTGAAAGGAGCTATTCAAAATGCTTTCTGTAGTCTCCATGATAATGAATGTTTTATAATTGAGAAAAATAAAGAAGACAGTACCTTAACTCACTGGAGTCAGGAGCTCATCCCATGTTAAAACTCTAGAAATCAGCTGATAGAGAAATATCGAAACTCCTTCTTTTTCTTCCTCTTCTGCTCGCTCTGCGATGCCTCCAACGTCAGGGTTCAGGAACAGATGATTGCGTGTCCATTTCCTTCCCCTTCAAGCCATTTGAACACTTTCAGGTGCACAGAAGTACAGACTAGTTCAGGTCAAAAACAATCAAGTATCTAAAGTGTAAATCTATCAGAGTAGTTCCAAACTGGCGTATCTCCTCAATTCTTTTTCAGCAGGGTATGGGTGGCATTAAATAAATGTTCTCATTGCAGGGTGTTTGTCATAATATCTGGAAAAAACTGACACACACCAGGCCACCCTGCCAGTGGGTGCACAAATGATTACACTTTGCCAGAACTCCAAACATACATCTTGACATTAATCGAAAACATGGTTAGGTCTTATCTTCATTTGGCTACTTTGAACCGTGTTTACCTTTGAGTCGGATACCCAGAAAAACAGGACTGGGATTTATGAGCTTCATGCTTTGGGTCGACTGGCCCCGGTCGTCTCCACGTGGACCTTGACAGTGTTCTGAGATTTCCCAGAGTTTGGCCAACTGTTAGCATTCTGCGCTAATGGACTGCTGGCTTTGGTTTGTGTGGACAGTCTAAATCTCTGTCCGTGGCGTCAGCACTGGCAGATTATTAGTTATCACAGTCTAAACCTACACAGGCATATTTTTATATTTTGCTAAGATGTGAAGGGAGGGCGACGGAGAAAGAGACTGCATGCGTCTGACAGACTGTGATCTAATCCCAAGTTAAACAATGCTGCAGGTGGGGTAATAAATCATACACAGAGCTGTTTGGAAAGAGGCACAAAGCTGGAACAAGATGTGTACATGCTGTTCTTCGGTTTGCATGTAAGGCAGGTGTATAAAAGAAATCCAACCCAGGAATGTCAAACTTACTTCACATCATTGGCCACATACAGCTCACTTTGATGTGAAGTGGGTTGAACCACTTAAACTACATGGTAAACATGTAAAGTTATAGAAAAGGTTTTAGTGCTTAATTGCTGTACTGTAAGTATAATTTAGAATATAAGGTTTTCATGAATTAATTTCCTTGTACTTTGGTGTTGTATGGATGGCAATGCGGGGTCTTAAGCAATAGGAAAAGCTGTAAAACTTAAAATATAGTTAAAAAGTTCAAAATCCATGCACTCCACATTTTCTAAGCTGTCCAGTATTGGAGTCATTGCCATTTGACATTATGTTTGACACCCCTAGTCTAACCAAACAGGGTTAAACTAAAGTACTGGTCCTCAAACTCTACTCAAAAATGCTGTCTCTCACCAACAATAAAAATAATCCAAATACTTCCAATTTAAAAATGCTGTTATAGCATGACCTTGCCCACTACTGAGCCCACAGGTTCACAGCTTTAAGAAACAAGGCACTACAGAATGTGATTGGTCATGACTTCGGCTTTGTCCTGCAGATCCTCTTTTAACAGCTACAAATTCTCGCTTTATATCTTTCTCCACTCAAACACATTTAGTTAACTTTGGAGGTTTGAGCTCCAGTTTGCAGGATAATCTACGTGCATCTTTTTCTGTGTGCTCCACCTGAATCTCAGTTTAACACATAGCAAGGATTTTGAGAGTTTAGAAAACAGGGTGCAGTATGAAACTTACAAATCCAAGACGTAAACTAGAAACTTTTAGTGAAGCTGGAGACCTCTGTCACACTATAAAATGAGCAACACTTTGCACCGTAAAAATATTCAAGTATAAATTCTCATCATCAAGTAGTTCATAAAGAAACCTCTTACTGGAGTTTCTGAGACTAAGTATTAATAGTCCTAAAATAAGTCTATTTGGTTTTCTGTTATCGGAGTTTTATAAGAATTCGTAACGGTTTGTCAGGGTCAGGAGTTGTATCTCTCAAGGGTTTAACCGATCCAAAACATTAATAACATCACACTGTACAAAAACATGCCGTCCATTTCTTTGTTTGAAAGACTTCAGGGTGTTTATTCATAGTTTGTTTAACATAAAATATGAGTGTTTATTCACTGATGCTATCACTGCTTTAGTTTGTGTCACACAGAAGAGTTGCCACTTTGGAAAGCTTTTTTTAAGAAAACATATATATAAGGGAAAAAAATCCAGATTTTGTGATCACTGGGTTGTATTAAAATAACTACAGCAGCGGAGTCTGTAAAACCCTAAAAAAGGACACAGCAAAGATGATGCTAACAAGACACTGGGACTTTGGTGACTGTATTATTTGTACTGCATGAAATTAACACAAAAAAGGACAATCTATCAACACAAGTATCTGCCACAGCTGGAGAAACAAAGATGTTTTCTCACCCATAAACCTGAATCAGCCTCCAGAGATGAATAGGATTGTCTGTGGGTAAGACTGTAGTATCTGCTAAAGAATTTACAGTGTGAGGAGAATATAAAGCTCCTTTAGATGTAATTACCCCCGTAAAGAATTTCCCTTTTTTAAAGTGAGCCAACACTGACGTCAGAAGGAGATCACAGGGTACGACTCTGGATCTCTGGTTTCATGCTCTGGGAAAAAATGATCCACAGAAATAATGACAGGACTGTTTGGGGCTAGAGAAGCGGCATTAAAAAAAAGATAAACTGCCTGACATTTTGCTTTGAGGCAACAAATCTAAGAAAGAATATTTCCAATGAAATGCTTAGCAAACAGTGTAAACGCACATGCAGGAACACTGATGCATAAATCTCAAGAGTGACTTTTGCTGTTAAATTACTATTGTGTCTGTAGTGTCAGCGTTTAGACCACATAAGCTGGAGCAGGAGGACTGATCATCTCTTTTTAAAATCAGTGTGACAGTCTATACATGTAAACCGACTTTTAAACCACACACTAAATGACAAACCTAAAATCAACAGACCAGTCTCTCCTCAAAAAGCACTAACATTATAGCTCACAGTTCGTCCCCTGAAAGACACTGCTGCACATCTTACCTTCAGTTTGGAGAAATGTTGCTGTCCAAGTTCATGCAGCACAAGTTGTTTCACTTCAGCACTGAAGGAGCTCTGTGTGCATGTGTGTGTGTGTATGTGTGTGTGTTGTGAGAAGGCACTTGTGCATGTGTGTTTTCTCCTTGGAAGGTGTTTCCCCATTCTCGTGACTCTACATCACTCTGACAGAGGACAGCAGATTGTATGAGGAGGAGGAGGAGAAGGGGACGATAAAGGGGCAAGGCGTGAGAGTGGATGAGGAGTCTATTACAGTGCTACGAGTGTGATTAAGTGCCGTCAGCGCAGAGGAAGAGCAGAGGGCCCGGAGTTTCCTGAGCTGGATCTGGGTGGGGGCGGGGAGGTTCGGCTCTCTGATTCCTTCATCTCGCCATTCTCCGTCTTTTTAAGAAGCAAAGAGACACTTGTTTCTTCACAGTCAGTTACTGCAGACACAGTTTTTCATTCACTAGGGGCAGAATTGCATCATTAAACAACACAGGCTCTAAAGTTGGAAAAGAATAACTCTTCAGTTCAAGTGTTTGATTCAAGTCTGCTTCTTGTATGCTTTCAGCACCTTGTCAACAACACATTCATGACTGAAAGGCAAAGGGAGAGGACTTTGGTAATTGCGGAAATACTTATGTGATTTAACCAAGATATTCCACTTAAAAAACACTTTGAGGCTCTCTTCATTGGACCGTGGCACTCATTTAGACTTAATTGTAGGCAAGCAGTAAAAACAAAAATATTCTCTCACACAGCTAACTAAACAGACCTTGAAATACAAAGCACACAGCCCAACATAGCGCTCAGAGAGACAGCGGTTTAATAAAAGCAAACCTTTTATTCTAATCACAAACACAACACAGATACATTCACATAAAAGTGTCCAAAACAAGGCAACAAATACAATTTAAGTTTCCCCACTCAGGGTCAGACCTCGGCGCCAAAAGACTACAGATCCCAGAGTTATGAAGGCGGCTGAGAGTGAGGTGAGGTGTTTGCGTGTGTGTGTCACAACTTTACAAACAAAAAGTACTCTACCATTAAATAAAATGTAAACATAAAAACAAAAATCGCTCCATTTTAAACAAATGTGACGCAAACTAAAAATCACTGGAGGAAAGCACAGCCAGGGTTAAAGGAGAGATTCACTGTTTTTAATATAGTTTACTTTAAAATTATACTCCTATCTTGTTATCTATATAACCAAATAAATGGCCACTTCCTCCTGTCCTTAACAGCAAAGCATTTCATAAATGGCTAAGCTGAAATTAAAATTGGAAGCTGGACTTGTAAATGAAATTCCCTCCTTTTGTTTCCTTTTGATTTAAGCTCACCTTTCTCTGGACATTTTCTAACCTATAAACATGAACTTTGGATGTCCACGTGGTGGGTCACACCAGAATGTAAAAATTCATGTATTCATTCTAGTGGATTGCAGCAGGTACTGTACTTGCAACATAATAATTCTGCATTTTCTTTATTTTTGGTCCATTTTTGGCCCAAACATTCTGACCCACAAATTTTATAACGGAGGGCACAATCCTCATTTATTATCAAAGTTGCATTATTCACTTTTATCTACCTTCCTTAAAAGTTGATACAAACAGAGAGTCAAGGGTATGAATATATCTTCAGAAAAAAAAGTGTTGGTCTAAGGTAAAAGAATAAACCTGACTATCTGATTATAATGCTATCCAGGGAAACTTTGGGTCCTGTCAGCCACGTGAGTGTTACTTTGACACATTAACACCACCCTTAACATGGTTGCCCATCCCTATTACATTGAGAAAACTTCTCTAACAGCTCGAGGAGCATGGCAAAGTTTCCAAATTTCCCACATCTAAATCCAATTAAGAAGCCGCAGGACATGCAAGAAAAATCGAGATCCATGGAAGCCCCACTCAAATAATCTGCTGTCAACATCCTGGTGCCAAACACCATGGACACCCCAGAGGTCCAGCGTCTGTGCTGAGAGCTTTGTTGAAGGCAAGAAGGGAACCTTATTGTGGCTGAACTGTTTACAGTGACATAGCCAAGTAAGATATACTAATATGCAAGTTAGCATGGGTGTTGGTGTCATTTTGTCTGTTAAGCCAAATGTCAAGGGGGTAAACAGAAGAGCCGAGAGAAAACAGAAACTCTCCAGGAACTGTTCTGACTGACTGGCATCCACACAGCCAGCTGGCACGCAAGTAGCTATCGCAACACAAAGAAAATTTTATGAATTAGTTCTGGAAATATGGCTGCAAGTGTCTAGAGTAAATATTCCACAGAGTCAGAGTCTGTTCAAGGGTCATACCAACCTTTGGTACCAACCTTACCAAACTTAACTACAACATGCAACTCCTTCAATGTACGTGAGGACCTGTGAGTATAACTTTAAGTAGAATTAAGAACCTATCCTTTACCAGATCAAATCCTGTAAACACAATGGTGAAAATCTGCTGTTTTAGGGTACATAACAAACTTGACATTTCTCCCAACTCAACTACAAAACGATTTACATGTTATCTACAAATGTGCAAGAGAAAAAAGAAAATAAATTAAAAGCTATTCATTATAAGACACCAGCTTAGTTCATCTAATTCTAACAAAGAAAAGCTTCACATGTTTAGTTTATGGGAATTTTGTTTTGTGTAACTACTGAGAGTGCTTTAGTGTAAGACACAGAAGCAGAGCGGGAGAGGGAGGAGAGTGGGAATGCAGTGTGTATCACCATACATGGAGCGGAAACCAATCCAGGTTACACTGAGTCATAGACAAGCTTATCCCAGTCTCTCTCTATCCCCCCCACACAGAGACAAACAGAAACACCAAGATAGGGACACAAAGGTGCAAATTCACAGCTAATAGTTCATACACTCACACTATGTTTTCACACATTTTTTTCCTAACACCTCCCCTCTACGAAAACACATTCAAGTGTCCAAAAATAAGCCACCTGAAATGGTTTAAAGATTCAAACATATTTGCCACAACAGGCCTTCCTTGGCTTGACCCTTTTGAAAAACAAACTTATCTTGACAAGTGCTTGTTTAGAAAAACACCAACTAGGCACCGTTTCATGCAAAGTAAGAACGGGCTAGGCCCATAACTTAATTCTGAGTTACGAAAAACTAAACAATCCCTTTGGAAAAGTGGTTCAAGAAACATCAACAAGCATCACTAAACCACCACCTCAGTACCTAAATATACAGGTGGGTGTAAAGTGACACCATTGTGATGGACAGCAAAGTCTCCATGTGGTAATTTGTGGATAAACTAGAGGCCATTAAAACATTTTTGGATCCACAGGGGAGGTGTTTATTCTGTCAGTGCAGGTCTAGTTACCTGCACACACACGTAAATAAGTCCACAGCTGATTGCAGCTTTTTAAACTGCTCCTGTGTTTGTTTCAATGTTTTAATTGCTTTGAGTCTGTTGTGCAGCGGCTGTTGTCCATTATTCAGGTTCATGGTAAAGCCAGGGTGAGTCAGGTGTTTCCAACAGGTCTGCAAAAAACCTGTATGCAAAAACAAGAACATTTAAGGCAGTACTTTAGTCCTGGGTCAAATTCACATCCCTTTCAACCGATTCAACCAAGTTATATGGAATATCTCCTGATTTTCCTTTGTTATGATAAATATTAAAGGCTGTGATGATTTTTTCCCTGTTTAGAATAAGAAGCATATTTTAAAAAAAGGTGTAAACCACCAAAAAGACGCATGACTCACATGGTGATCTTGTTAAATTAAAAGCAACCAGATAAGCATCAACATTTGTTTCTGGTTTCTGTATTTCACATAAATTCTAAACTATTGGTGCCTGTGTGTTTGCACTAAGTAAAACAAATTAGCTTCAAACCTGAAAAAAAACAAACAAACAAAGCAAAACAAACAACAAAAAGTAGTGACAATACAAGTATTAACAGCTTTTTCCTTAAAGTAAGTGAGATCCCTCTGCTGGAGACAGGGAGTCATCACATTTGCCCAACTTATCATGACAGATTTTCATCTTCCCCCTATAAAGTGAATGAGAGAGACTAAAATATGCAATTATGGACCAGACATGGGTGTTGACCGAAGTTTGAACCAATTAACCTTTAGAGTTGATCTGGATCTACTTGATCCAAGGACTTGGAGGTATATTCTTACTACCTGATTTTTTATTTTATTTTTTGTTAATATCTTGGGATGTTAAATCTATTTGAAAATGTTTTTTTTTTTTTTAATAGTGTCTGGAGTTTACCTCTTGCTGTGTTTTAATCCGTCTCGTCCTGTTCTGCGTCTTTCTGGGAGACAGGTACTACAGCGGTGCCCAACAAACCTCTTCTCACAATATAGGGACATGCAGGACCACTGGGAATGTCAGCAAAACCTAAAGGATGGAGAGGGGAAAAAGACGGAGGGTTAAATAAAAGAGTTAGTAGAAAATAGATCAGAGCGAGAAAGCACAGAGACAAGGAACACAAACAGGTAATCCACAGGGAATCAAACACTCAGAGACTGTATGTACTTATGAATATCAACTGGTGACTCGGCTGTGAGAAGAATTTTGTACTAATTGGTAAAAAAGTTTTACGCAACTCCCTCCAAAATAACTTTAATTACTTTTCCATATTTCACTCTACAGGCCCACAAACAACAAAGTTACCTTTCATGACGACTTCCGGCAGGCCGTAGGGTTCGTATTCTGTGTCGTCAAAGGCAGCTGACAGCTGCGTCCTGTTGCGGCGAATTCTTTCAGCCAGACGTGCCGGGTCAGCCGGGATGGGGAAGGAACCAGAAAACAAGATTTTGTCTGACGCCGCCTCCGCAGATAACTGGACAGGAGACACAGGAGGGGAATCCACTGAACCTTGTTCTTCCTCCTCCTCAGTCTGAGTGTTAACACATACTGTTGAAATGCCACGAGGATTCAAACTCTCCTCTGTCTGACTGCTGACACTTTTCATTTCTATCTTGACAACGCTGTCTGAGGAATTAGTCGTTGTGTTTAGTTTGGCTTCTGTTTTGGTCGAATCTGGCTCACAGACTTCGCCTGAGTGATGTTGAGCCATTTTCTCCAATGTCATTTGGATGAGTTGAATGTCTCTTCTTACTTTTGGACAATTATCTGACCATTGTGTGAAGTTAATCTCCTGGTTTTCTTTTTCAGATTCCTGAGTCAAGAGACAAAACAAAGTGACTGAAGAATTAATAATTCATCTGGTAAACAAATAAACGCATATGCCTAGGATAAAACTGAAAACCATTGCATTTTATTCAGTACTGAGGGCAGACAGGTGTTTTAAGTTCAGGTGTAAAAGTACAAATGCTTTATTTTATAGGTAAACAAAACATCTATTTTAAATTTCTCTAATATGATAAGAATTGCTATTTACAACAGGAGCAGCTCAGTTCTGGCCCATTTATTATTAAAAATAAATTTCCCCAAATATGTAGGCTTACTTCTCTACAGAAATGCCTTTATGTGCACTGGCTAAAAGACTTCCTAGATCCCACTAGCAATTATCTGGAATTATTTAATTTAAAGGACTCTTTTTTTTCATTGTAATTTACACTAAATTACATAATGACAATTAGCCGTCTGGTACATAAGTGAGTGACAATTTATAAAAAGTCACCTGGTCAGCCGTGGCAGTGTCCTGTCTGTGTTCTTGAAAAATTTCAGCAGTTTTAAAGGGATGGAGGCTCTTTGGTTCCTCAAGGTTGCTGTTCTGCAGTCTTGTGGTAAAACAAGCAAAAGTTAATCCCAGCTGATACCTGTACAAATATACTTAATATATGCGTTTAACACACACAGACACAGAGGTGTGATCAGTTACAAGTTATCTCTGTGATTACAGAGTGTTGTGTGTTACCTGGAGAACAACATGCGGCCCTGAAGTCTGTTGGAGGAGCAGGAAACGAGTAACTCGTCTTCTCTGATGACTGTGATGGTTTCCTGGCTCTTCTGTCTATCCAGTGTGGGTGTCTGAACCGAATCCTGAACAGGTAGAGTTTGAGGCGAGCACTGGGTCATCTCATCTGTTTGCTCCTGGTTTGACTGGGACTGTGTCACAGCAGAGGTCAGTTCATGGGTTTCACATTCCTCAAATGTTGGTGCTGTTTGGGAGGCCAGTCTCCATACAGCAAGCTCCTCTGCCTGCTGCTGGGTCTCCTCAGAGAGAGCTCGTACCCTTATCTGCAGTGCCTCCACCTGGACAGAAGGAGAATGACAGTAGACTGAATCAATCGGACATAAAACTTAAATATAAAACAAATAAAATCCACAATATTATTAAAAAAGTAATTCTATATTCAGCAATACAGATCTTATTGAATATTTTAATGTCGTAAATCATTTGATACTCAGTACTGCGAAAGAGTCGTATTAATTTGTCCAATTACAATTTAAGCACCTAAAGATAGGGGAGGGTATCTATAAATATTTGCAATTTCTAAATTATATTTTTGTTTAAGCCCTTGAGTAGAAAGACTCTACTTCAACTGGATTTTAACTGCTTTATATAAAATCTACTCTGGCAGCGTACAGAGCCAAAATGATGAAAATCGTGCCATTACCCAAATATATCCACTAGTTAAGACTACCATCTAGCGTCTCGTTCTCCATTAGCCCACCTGTATAATTTTAAGTCCTATACAACTAACCTATTATATTTTTGTCACTTTTCATCTTTTCACATAACTGAAGGAGAAAAATCACTGCCGTTACCTGTTGTTGTAGTTGAGTTACATGCACCTCAGACATTTCCTCCAGGTCTTCTTCAGTTCTTGTGTTTATTTGGTCTTCCTTTTTTAAATCTTGTCCTTCATCTTCTTCCTCATTCATACTTGACTCCAGTCCCTCAGTCATGACGTCATTCAGCAGACTCAGTGTCCCGTCTTCTGCCAAGCAGGACAGTGCAGCGTTTGGTGTGTTTTGGCTTTGTGTTGGATCCTCTTGATTTTCAGCGTCAGTCTGTAATGTCGGGTTTTGTGCGTCAGAGATGGTCAGGCCCTCAATTCTTTGTTTCAACAGCTGATTCTCCCGTCTGAGAGTGAGCAGTTCAGTAAGGATATCTGCTTCTTTACCGCTTTGACCGCACTGAGTCTCTACCATCACACAAGCAGAGTCAGGGTTACTCTGAGTTTTGTTCGAGTCTATAGATTCAGGATGCTGGTCCCCTGTTTTATTAGCTTCTTCACTGCTATCAGGTGTTGCCGTTTGAGTATCACATGTCTCTGGCTGACTTGCCTCACACTGTGCTTTCAAGTCACTCTCAGGCAGTGACTCTGCAATTAGACAGGTGACTCTACTCTCCATTTCCTGTTTTAGTGAGAGCTCTGAATTCTCCACCGGCTTCTCATCTCCCTGTTCTTCACTTTGTATCTGTTCCTCCACCTCTTTGACCATCATCTTCACCTCATCCTTTTTATCATTCTTTAGTTCATCCAGCTCTTGCTTGCATTGTAGTAGTTCCTGTTTTTGGCTTTGGAGGGCGCTCTCCTTCTCTTGTAGCTCAGTTAGAAGGCCTGCAATGTGCTGACTCTGCTTCTCAAAGGCCATGGTCAGCTGCTGCGTCTGACGTGTCACCTGACAAGAAGAGAAGGTTGAAAAAAAAAGAAAAAAGAAGAAGAAATGATGACTAGAGAAAGTAAAAATACCACTGGGGTCTGCACTTCACTGGTCACAGCTCACAGCACAAAACACATTTTAAAAAAGCAAACCAAAGGCCTTTTTCTTAACCAATCTTACTTCCTTGAGGAAAAATGTGTATAAATGCAGTGAATTTGCTGTTGTAAATTTAAATCATTATGACCACTTGTAAATCAGGGCCACACAGAGACTCAGGTCACCTTACTGGATATGCAGAGTTTACTTTGCTTCTATCAGAACTGATGTTTACCTTCTCAGATTAGCACTGAACTGATACCTGAAGTCTTCTTATCTATCTGCTCGGGTTGCATTTAAACAGTTTGCAACTGTTTTATTGACTCCTATACTTTTCTGTATTTTCTTTTTCTTTTTTACTGCCTGCTTTTTGTTTGTCTTTGACTGGCAAATCTTAATTAACTCTTTCGTGACCTTTAGTGGCCATCTTATTTCTTAAATAACTTACAGAAGGAAGTAACGTTTGATTTTTTTTTTTTTTTTTACTTCAGTGAGATCAGTGATATCCTAATTTTAATATTGTGCTTTACAATAACACGATTCATACACTGCTCAAAAAATAAAGGAACACTTTATTCTTTTTTACCTTCAGGACTATTAATTTGGTCGGTTAAGTAGCAGAGAGGGAGACGTGCAGTTACGCTAGGAGTGCTGGACAGAGCCATAGAAGGTTGTAACCCATCAGCACCAGAATCTGCTCCTTTGTGCAATGAGGAAGAGCATGTGCACTGTTAGAGTGCTACAAAATGACCTACAGTGTGCCAACTGATTATTTCAAAGTGTCCCATAATTTTTTTGAGCAGAGTATGAATTCAAGATTTAGCGATAAACGAAAGTACAGTGATGAGACATGAATTAAGCTGTTCAGAAGTGCAGAACATTCGAGAGTGACTGTTTAATACAGAAATACTTAGGTTTGAGAAATTTAGTGCACTAATCTCTATATCCAGCATCATTTACCTGGCTCTGCAGGGCCTCCAGTTTAATCTGACACTGATTAGCACGCTCTGTCTCCTTTGAATTCTCATTCTTCAGTCGCTCCACCTCTTTCACCAAATTAGAGGCTGTAGGCTCAGCCTTCTGGGGGTCTGAGGCTATTTGGCCCATCTGAACATCATCTGACAGAGGAGAGTGCTCGGCATCTATCACATTGCTCTTTTCTTGGATGATGCCTGCTGCTGTCTGAGAAACAAGCATGTTGTGTTGGTTGGTAGACTGGCAGAAAAGGAGGTGCTGCTCTGGTGAAGGCAGGAGTGCGTGGCCACAGCTATTGATGTTGGAGTTGAGCTTGTCATCACGAAGAGTCAAATACGTCAGGGGAGTGTTTGCATCTGTGTGCTTCTCTTCTTGTGTGTGTTTTCTTTTTTGCTTCAGTTCTTCCACTTGAGCTTTAAGTTCTGCCACCATCATGCTCAGCTGTTCCTTTACATTAGCATCTGTGTTTATTATTTGGCTTCTCTCCTCTTCCTCTCTCTTTTTTTCTTCTCGCTCTAAAGCCAGCTGAGCTTTCACCTCCGCCAGCTGTTTTTTAAGCTGAATATTAAGCTCTACCATTTCACTCTCCCTATCTTGTTGTTCTTTGTTTTTCTCTTCCTCCTGCTCGCTTCCCCTCTCCTTTACACACTCTATGTCTGCCTCCAAAGCAGTCATCGCCCTCCTCAGCCTCTCTGTCTCAGCTCTTTCAGTCTCCAGTTGTGTCTTCCATTCTTTTTCTTTCTCCTCTTTCTCTGCAGCCTGGCTGGTGTGTTTGCGGCTAAGCTGTTTAAGGCGGGTCCTGGCTTCTGTCTCAGCTCTTCGTTGGGCTTCCAGGTCCTCTAGTCGTTTCTGCAGTTCTTCTCGTACATCTTGAAGCTCTGAACGGAGCATTGCATTCTCCTTTTTGAGGTCTTCAGAGGGAACGGTCTGCTCAGACTTGAGAGCAGGTGTCTTTTCTGCAGAAAGGGTCAAATTTTGTGTCTTAGGTGAGTGCTCAAGACTGATCATTCTATCAAGATCTTTAGCGTTAGAGTTGTTGATGGGAGTATGAGAGACGTCACATTCTATTGCCTCATTTATAACTTTGTTCTCCTCTTCATTAATTTTCCCTTTGTCTCCTGCTCTCTTTAAACACTCTGAGGAGTCTGGGGAGATTAGGGCACTGATGTGTTCCGAGTCAATTCCTTCTCCTGGCTCTCTGTCAGAAGGATAAGATGCTCTGATGTCTGTCCTTCTCTCCTGTGCATCCTCTTCTTCCCTCCTCTGCTCAGCTCGGTTTGAAGAAGGCCTCTTGGTTTGGGCTGACGGTCGAGGATAATGAGATGAGGAAGACTGAGATGAAAAACTCTGTCCAACAGGGCAAAACTGCACAGATTGTGGAGGAGGTGCTGACTTTTGCTCTAGAATTAAAAGGAAAAACATTTTTAATATGTACAAACAAAAAAACTTAATAAACATGTGCTCTCTTTCTAATAAACATGTGCAGTAGTGGAAAAGTTAAGTGTATTTTTAAAAGGATAACATTCATCTATCACTAACCAGCAGGGAGCAGCACTGGGATAAGACTTATGCGTGAAAGACATTGAGTATATAACTGTCATGCACAATCTAGGATTCACCCTCTTCAGTAATCAATCTCCCTTTTTTGCTGCACAAAATAATAAATTACTACAGGGCAGCATTATCACAATAAGCCCACTAAAGGACACCAGTACAACAAGCTCATGTTAAGCATGTGAGACTCCAAAACCCTGACTCTTGTGGAGGGAGGAAAGACAAGATACTCCAATCTACCATGACTAATAAACAGATTTGGCTTCATCCCCACAGTTTATGCCTCACCCTGTAGTTCTTTCAGGAGACACAGGGTGTCAGCTCGCTCATCTGCAAGTCTCCTCCCCTCCTCTTCCAGAGCTCGCTCTCGCTTCCTGCTCTGCTCCAGAGTCACAGCCACGCCCTCTGCCTCACGCACAGCTTCCTAATGCAAAGAGCAAAAATAGTCAAATGAGGTGGGATGAATCCAGTCAAATCAAACTTACTGATTTTTAAGTGTTCAGCTTAGCTGGAGGGAATCTTCATGACCAACAATGGACTTTTAAGGCCTCTTTTTCAAATATCTGTCAGAAAATTTGATTGATTTCCAAAATATGTCTGCCATGACATCTTTAATGTCAGTCTATATTTTCGACCTTGTGATATTTGGACTATAAATGTTATCAATTGTGCAAGAAGACTGCCAGATGAGGACATGCTGTGTGTAATATAAATGGATTAAGAGCAACCCAAACACAGTGTCTCAACAGCTAGAAACCACAAACAAGCTACAGATGAAGGCAGTATTAGTACGAACTATGTTGCAAGCTTATGAACATGTAAAGAACTGCTACAAATTCTAAAAATGTGGGCGTTTTACATCTTCTGCACTCTCAGCTTAGCGGGGTGCAATACAATAGTAAATGTTAATTTGGAACCTGCACAACAATAGCAAATGTCCTTGCGCATCAGAAAGGCTTTACTAAGACTTTTAATCATGTAAAGTTCATTCCAGGGCCTGTTGGCCAAGGTAAGTCAGTGGGCACTAGTGGGCACTACAACAGACAGCCATTCAAAGGCTGTTTTCTTGTATTTGTGTCAGTGTTGATGTGTGTAGTATTACAAGTATTACAAGACACAACTAAATAACAGTGAGGATAACGCTAATCCGATATCTTTAATAAAACATAATGATGGAGCTGGATCCACACTTATTGACTAACATATGGCACATAAGATGGTCATTACCCATTGCTCATCTAATGAATAATTAATGCAGGCCCTGACTCCTAACAACGTCTGCATGTATCAGTTGATGATCACTATGTGTTACCGTCAGTTTGGCTTGTGTCTGTGCTTCTTTCTTCTGGCTCTCCTTCAGCTGTCCCTCCGTCCATTTCAGTTTCTCTTTCAGAGTCTCCAACTCTTTCTCCAGCGCCTGCTTCTGTAGAGAAAGCTGACAGAGGGAATAGCGAAATAGTGAGAATGAATCCAAACAACACAACAGAGAAGGTATTTAAAAAAAGAAATTAAAGTAGGGGGAAGAAAAAGCAAAAACAATAGGAGAACTGAAAAAAAGGGAATGACTTGTTTGCCTTGTTTCAGGTGCAGGAATCATAGCCAGTGAAGGGAACAGGAAGCAGGACAGATATCGATGTGTCTAACATATCCTCTGCCTCTCTCAGGGTTATCAGCAAAGACTCAAGTAGATTAGCTTCCCACCAGTTCTCATCTAAAAATTCTACACGTTATACTCATATAACTGTATATATGTAGCAATATTGTAATGTACTGAGTAAATTATTTGCTAATTAATTATTTTTAACTTCAGTGTAGCTCTTTAAAGACAAACTTTTTTGTATTGGTCACTAATTAGTCACTTGGTTTTGTTACAATATTGAGTGACCCAGTAATTCTCAGTCAATGAAATGTCACATGTAGTTTAACAACCAATCAAATCTGAAAATATCTGATACTGATTTTAATCAGCTCACTTAGTGAATTTCAATATATGTAAAAAGAATTAAAGAGAAACTATAAAACACATTAATCAGGTTTTGGATTCTCATAACTGAAACTTCATGCATGCACAAAAAACAAATAGTACGACGCAAATTCCACAAAGGCCTGTATAAAGTGCTCATTACCTGCAGCTGAATGTTGCTGACCTTGTATGTGAAACTGTGCTTCTATTGTTAATTTACACAGTATAGCTTTATCAGATACAAGATAACACCTGTGTGGTTCACAAAGAGCTTACAATAACGTTTAAAGGACACTAGTAAAACTGAATAGCTATTGTTAAGACGGTATTTATATATACACAGAAGGTTATGGACTAAATCTATTTTCTTAGAGATTTTTTTTAATCTAATAAAAAAAATTAGTGCCACATCATTCCTTTATGTTAAAGACTTCCAAAGTATAATTTTTAAAAAAGGTTTTTAACCACAAACAAAATTTGCACTCTGCATTCATGCAACATGCCTTAAAACGCTTCATACAAATCTTTCACCGTCATCCCACAGCCACTGTTTCACGCCTTCTTTTGCTGAGCACTCCATTTCTCACACACAAGTTCCAAGTTTCCGAGTGGTTCAAGCTTCCATAAACAAAGAAAAACTGAGCGGTCACACTGTCATTACCTTCTCTGCTCAACCTTTCCACTGGGGGAGAAACCGAGAGGAGAGGAGGACGAAGCGGAGAGGAGAGCAGGTGGAGGGGAGAGAAATCAGAAACACAGAGTCGAAGACAGTGAAAAAGAGAGAGAGAGAGAGAAAACATCACAGGCACGCAGAAAGTGTGGGAGAAAAAGTGCGATAAATTCATTGACCTTGGGTCCATATAATAAAAACAGTCCCAGGACAAGCAAAAGGTAAGATGGGAGAAGGACAGAGAAAGGAAATACTAAAAACAGGAAAGGTAATGAATGTATAATAGTATAATTATAAATAATAGCATAAACAAAAACAGTATGTCATATCTTTTTGGTCCTTGGTTTCCAGTGCTGATAGCAACTTTATCTTGATAAATGCATTTGTATGCATGTTAGAGGACTTGTTGGTCTGGTTAATGTGTAATATTTTGAGCGTATACTTGTACATGTGTGCGCATGTACCTTGTCAGCCTGTGCCTGCAGGGCATTGTGGAGCGTTCTAGCTTGTTGAAGCTCCTGGTTGAGCTTATTCACTTCCTGTTGATGCTGCTTCTCCAGACACTGCCTCTCCTTCTGAAGCTCTGTCAAATCCTAGAAACACACCAAAAAAAAACCCCCAAAAGAATCCATCAATCTATGGAAAAAAGGAAATCAAATGAAAAATGATTTTCCCTTGCTTTGATGTTCATCTCACCCTCTGATGTTGTTTCTCCAGCTCTTTGGTACGCTGTTGGTGTTGCAGTCTGCTGCTTTCTGCATTTTGCCTCTGACACTTAAGCTCCTCTTGTAGTTGCTTCAGTCTTTGCTCAGCTCCCGACGCCTGTCATGGGAAAACATATGCAGCTGTTTACCCGAGTTTTGCTCTATATGATACATCTGATATTACTTAACATCAGGTACATACTGTTCAATGTCAGTGAAAACTGATGTGTTTGACTTCTTATCACCAAACCAAATCTTTTGCATTTAATTTGCTTATGACTTGAGATGATTAAATCTCTGAGAATTTTGTCCTGATGCAAACCAAAGTTCCAACTTATAGGCAGTTTTAACACATACACTCCATGTGTGAATATGAGCATAAATTGCTGTATGTCTCTCTCTGGGCCCTCTGTTAGACACGGGTCTTGCCCAATGATAGCTAGGATAGGCTCAAGCCACCCACTACCTTGAAATTGAGAAGCACTAAAAAAGCTGGATGGATGAATAGATGGAGGGCATAAAACACTTCATAATGCTGGTTTAGCTATACAAATAAACATTATTACTGTTATTATTCATTTGTGAGAACAGCTCTAATCATTTAGCACTGTTAATGGAAAAATTACTGAGGTTTTTCCTCGTGAAAACAAAGCCTACAAAAGAACTCCTCCCAAATCACAACACTGTAGCAGTAAGATAACTTCGTGGGTTTTAAATGTGTGTGCTTGTGAAAGATACTGCAGTCACACAGTAACTAAACTGTTTAAAATGGCCAAATGTTTGTGTTTACATTTTGTAAAACATAATTATGAGTGACTTCCAGGATTGCATTTATATCTTTTAACACATCTGTTACATTTTTTTTCTTTGGTTGACTTGCTTAGTTTATTTCAGTCTTTCAACTGTGATTCAGAACGACCTCACACTGAGATGGTATTAATTAAATCGGGGAAGCACAACCTCACAACTTATTCGTACCAGATGGTTTTAGGCTGCTTTACAGCACAACAGGAAAAAGGACCACCATTTTTCCAGTTTTTTTCAAAGAGCATGTTAATATTTCAGGGAAGACAAATGTTTTGTTAAATAAGATCAACACCTCTGCCATGTCAAAAAAAAACACCAGAGCATCAGGAAAATATGGAACATTATCACTGAAATGAGATGTTTGTTTTCAGCAGTAGTACTAGAAGCACCACTACCTGTAGCAGCAGTATATGTGCATGTGTTTACCCGTTCACTGTCCTGGGCCATACGTGTCTGTGCCAGGCTAAGCTCATTGGAGACTTTCTGCAGGCTGAGCTCCTTGGCGGCAAGCTCCTTCTTGGTTTGCGTCATTTCGTTCTGTATGGACTTCAACGTCCTGTCCTTCACCAGCAACTCCTCTTCCAGAGAAGACATACGGCTTTGACTTTGAGGCGACACTGACAGATGGACAGAAAGAAGTATGGTTAATAATTTCAACCATCCATTTTCGTCCACTTATCATCCTGTTACCAGAGAATGTTTATTAAATTCTGCGTTAGTCTCATAGAGATAGGAGAAAATTTATAAGCATTTGTTAACTAATATTTATACTTTTTTTCCGAATTTAAAGAGCACCTTTAATTAAAAAATAGTGCTCACAATCAGTGAGCTGGGATCATAGAATGGCAGAATGGTGGCTGAGTGAGTGGAGAGTGAGCAAGAGAATACAGGTGAATGAATAATTGCAAAAACAAACAAATCCATTTCCATGACCATTAAGAATATCTTGATTTCTGATAAAACAAAACAAAACAAAAAAAACTGATGGCTGACAGTCAACAACACTTAGGGTCACAATCTATACACACTGATGCAATGAATCAAAGTTATAACTCTATATGATGCACTTAGATCCAGCCTGGGGAGGAGACTGATAATAAGGATAAAAATCAATTGTGTGCTTGTGATGCATTGTCAATATTTTAACTGTCCCATTTTACAATCTCTCCAGGCATACATTTACCTACCAAAGACATAAATATAATCACATTTTTTTTCCATTGCTAATCTAAAAAGGAACAATGTTTTTTTGCTACATACAACCCCAAGTATAAATCCTACCCAGTAGCCAGAATAAATCCTAAACTGTATGTTCTGTTATCAGGAGAAACATGGCTGCAAAAAGGCACACCTAAAGTAAACATTATAACCCCACCCCCACCCCTCATGCCAGTGTCCCAGCAGCTTTTATTGTTTCATATTGACCTGTCTCCTTCCTCCCCTGAACAAACACAAAAACACCCGGTGAGAGCGACAGTGTTACATCACAACTACAAACTGCAGTAAGAGTCACTCTACATCATGAAGCCGGCCTGGGAGCAGGCAGAGGAATCTCTGGCCATTCATTTCTACACAACCGCTTATGTAACGAGTGCAGCTGAGGTTACACATGTGCATGAGATTCATGGTGACAACACTGTTCACTTTTACTGATGTTGCTGTCACTCTGAGGTAAACCAAAACTGACAGAATTTCGTCATTTGGACAAAGCTTATAATAATATTTTGAGTGAAGTGGGCAACACATTTCAAACAGAGAGACCTCACAGTGTTAATTATGGCACCTGCCAGCAATTTTATCTATTGTTGTTATTATGTAAATTAAACAATAAGAGTTCATCTGACCTCAGTTTGCTGTACATCTGTCCTTTATTTAAATCTTTATTTGGCTTAGAATTAAACCCTTCAGTATAAACTGACCATTCGCTTTAAGTGTTTGCTGTAATAAACCCAGGCCCTGGAATAGCCTGTCTATAGACACAAGGTTGGTTAGCAATGTCAGCACCAGAGGTTGTACTATAAAGAGAGAATAATGGTATAATTATGGTAGACTGGCTATTAGAAAGGAGTTTTGAAAATAACAAACTAACAAAGTATGAAAAGATCACAGTGGTAACATATTCTGGATAATCATAGATAAAATCAAATAATGCATGCAGCATGCACATCAGTGAAAAATGAAGCAAATGCAGTGGTGCCTTAAAGCTGCATTTTTTTCAAATGTCCAGCAGGAGGGTGACTCCTTTGGGTGACCTCAGTAAAAACTTTCCTGATGACTTTACAGGCTCAATAACTTGTTTCAGATCATCTTACTATTAGACATAAAATCCATGAACTCCTCCTACAAGATAGGAGTGGAGCAACCAAACTTGACAGACAGGTACATTTCAGGCCTCTGAAGAATCTTATCTATATAGGATCATGGATAAGATCAGGTCATGATGTTGTCGAGAAACCTCAAAACAACAGGCTAAAATTACATTAATAAAGTAGAGCAGCACAGGAACACCCTGGCGCGCACACGCGCACACACACGAGGAATTTTTCCTACTCAGAATTTTTTTTATCTTCAATTTAGTTATTTACAAGCAAGAACCAACACCCCTATTTCTTTTACTTGACTTATTGTGACTAAGTATATAAGTTTGTAAAAACAAACAGACCAAACAATATTGCTGCATGGGCATGTACTAGTATTATTAGTATTATCCAGTTTGCACATTGACTGACCACTTATCAATAACGTAAGAGTAAGAGTTCGCATCCAAGATAGGAAAAGTGAAAATATTCAGTTTGAGTGATTTAAACAGTGTGACATCACTGTGGCTATATCAACATAACATGCCTTAATGTACGGTAGGTTAGGATGATTTTATTTTACTTTAAATAGATTTTATAAGGGTGACACAGTTTAACAAATAAAATACAAAACACGAACCTTTTATGTATTACATAGAGTTTCTACCCATTACTAGTTTCAACTGTTGCACGCAGTTGAGACTGGAAAGACTTTAGATTAAAACTGGACACAAGAGTCACTGGCAATTTGCTCTAACTGTGATATATATTCTCAGCTGAAAGCAGGCAACCTGTTGAGGCTTGCTTTAGTGTTACCACCAAAGAAAACCATGCAGTCTAGTAGTGCAATCTAGATGTTACCTACATGGATCCCGATTTGCTGCAGTCAATTTACATTTCTTTGATTGAATCAGAAATTGAAGTGATTTCTATGCATCGCTCATCATGGAACGATATCAGACCAGGGTTTAAATTTAAGAGCTCTAATGTTCAGCTGTAAAAAAAAAAAAAAAAAAAAGAAAGAAAGAAAGAAAGAAAAGAAAAAAGAAAAAAAAATTAAAGAGTCAACTGACCCCTTTTATGCAAGCACGAACGAAGCCTAAGGAACCAAGCCTAGATTAACAAAGACAGTTGGTAACCACTGTTATCGTAGAGGGGATTATATAAATACATACATTTTTAGCACTCTCCAAATAGGTTTTAGAACCATAAAAAAATCTCATAACTAAACAGTTATGTTAACTGAGTCTTCATTCACTGAAGCATAAAAGACATTTTTTAAATTGAATTTATAGACATAACAGGACAATGCATAGGTTTCTCTAAAACAAGGTAACCAAGTTTTGCCTTTATTGGGAAAGGAAAAATTGTGATTACCAAAGCAAACTCTGATTGTAGTTTTAGATTTTGTTAATTTTGCTAATGTAAAAAAGCCTGGGTAATATTTTAAAAAAGAAGAAGAACAAAAAGTCAAATCTGCTCTTTATTAAGTTGCTGTGTGTGCTTTGTTGCTGAAGACTGCAGAACATCCAAATGAAAATCTAAACTTTGAAATCAGAGGGTGGTTTCACAGCAGGGGTACTGAGTTAAGTAGATAATAGCATATCCATACTGGCTCCTGTTGTTATGGTAATCCAGCTAGGTTTTTAATCTTGTTTTAGGATAAATGCTGCTGGCCTGAGTTACATGCGTATATATTTGTAATTTGCAAATGGATAACACAGAGTAATTCCATCACCACTCACTGTCTGTCTCTGTCCTGCGGTCCTTCCCATAACCCCCCTGCTCTGACAGATGATTTGTGACATCAGAGGACGGCATCAAAGAGGGAGAGGGCGGAGGTCGCCTCCTTGCTGCAGGTTTTGTCTCATCCCGTTCCCATGGAAACACACCCAAGGGAGTGGAGAAGGTGTCCGATTGGACGGGTGAGTGGCTGTGGCGTGTGCTCTTGTGTTGTTGTTGTGGCAATGAAGGTGTGGGTATCTCAGAGAACTGAAGCCGCTGCTGAAAGGATGAGAGAGGGTTTAATCAAAGACAAAAAAGAAAGAGGAGCAGCATGAGCAGGAAGAGGCTCGACAAAAACAAGGCTCAAGGACTCAAGGTTTTACAATCAGACTAATGCAACTAAGAATTACTAACTGCTGTTTTATTCATAACTCAAGAGAAATTGCTTCAGCGTGCACAGCACCTTTAGTATATTTCAAATGCTGCTTCAGGATGAGAGATCGTAAAAGAAAAGTCAATGTTCAGATGTAAGAGCACAGACTTGCTGTTACATTTTCCTAAAACTTTTCTTTTGCCTGCCAGACCTGTACAAACAAATGCAGCAGCACACTATGATGAACGTTGGGAAATAATACAAGCAGGTGAAGCAGGGCATAATTTTACTGAAACACTCAAACCAGCAATAACTTAGTAGCTTGTCTGAGTAGTGAAAGCCTGTAACAGCATATTCCTCTGTACAAAGTTAAAAAAAAAAACATTCCACAGAAGGTGCACTGAAGTACATATTATTATTGATGAACCTGGGACAACGTAATTTGTATTAAACCCATAAATAAAGTCATACTTCTTAAAAAAATACTGGTCTCATTTTTTAGGAATAAACTTATAAATTTCTCACCTCTTAAAGTTTTTGGTCTTCAGTTAAAAATGTGTATATAAAGTTAGATTTGGTCATCCTTTAAAATTTTTGATAACACTGCCAATCTTATCCTTTCAGCTGACTACTAGAAGAAAGAACCTTGCTGTTAAACAAAGAGCTGTGAGCCAAGGTGTTGTTTTTAACATCTAAATTTAACCAGAAAAAAACTCCATTATAAGGACAGAACAACTTTAAAATACAAATTCTTCCTGTCCTTATCACAAGGCCAGAATGAAATTTGAAAAATACAATAACACCCTGATAACAGACACTGATGCTCTTTAACCTACTATAAAAACTCTTAACTACATTGTCATGTTTAAAAATAGAGAAATAAAGTACAATGTTGTTTCATCTGTTTTTTTTTTTTTAAAAGCACCATGTGCTGCAGTAGTTCACATTTAAGAAACAGTTACAGCCATCTGGGCCACTTATTTGGAAAGACTTAATTACTTAAGACTAAAAGGAAAACTAATCAAATAAGGAGGGATGTTTTGCTTTGCTAATAAGACAGTTAAATCCTCCAAGTAGAGAACATCAGCTTTCAGCTACAATCCACAGCAGTCTTGGATTAGTTTACACATAGCTCAGTGTGAGAACATGTTCAGACTTACTCGGATGTGAGGAGCCCGGCTCTGCCCTTCATCTCTGTGCCCCTGTTTCTCTTCCTGTCGGCTCCCTACAGGGCAAAAACAAAGCATATGGACTGAACTTAGTACCTACAACCGATCACAAAAACTGAACAGGAACAACAGCTGTAAATTACCAAGTGGTTTAGTGACGAGAGGAAAGACAAACAAACTGTCCTTAGAGAGTAGAGGGCTGGGAAAGCAATGTAGCTCAAGGGGGTTTATTTATATCCACTGCTCATTTGGGACTCTGGTGGTTTAACTATTTAATTCTCTTAACTGTAAAGAGTTTTAATAAAATATTAGAAATAAACTGCCATAGAGATTAAACCAATTAATAATTTTACAGTTTAGAAAACTGTACCATTGTGTTCCCAGGGCAAGCCTGTATTCCAGCAGGGAGTAGAAAACAGAGAGGTATCTGGTGACCTGATGCTGTTCTGCAGCTTCTCTAGCTCGGCTTCCAGCCTGCCACAGAAAGAAGACACAGAGTGAAAGAGTTTAGAGTGGGAAGAGAAATGGAGATATTTCTTACAGGAAATGAGGGCTGAGGTCAAAAAGTCAGATTTGCTTAGTAAACATCCTAGCTGAAGGACGAGATCCAGTAGTATATGCAAAAACAATGATAACAGCTGGCTGAATTCTCTACAAACTGAGAAAAGCTGTTCCTTCAAAATGTGGTTTAACTCTTTTAGTCAAGGTTACACTAAGCTATCACTTATGAAAGAAAAGTATGCCCTCCCACAATTCATAGCAATATGTGCCATCCAACAATCATTTAAAAAAAATATTAACATAACTCATCATGTACTGTAGATGATGAGAGAGCCTTCAGAATTTTAGGTTGAGGAACATATAAGCAGTTTTTTTACTGACTGGTGAACCTCTGCTCATTTTTACTTCCGAGAAACTGTCAATTCACCTAATTAGTTCAAAATGTTCCTCCAGCTGTTGCTATTTAGAACCACCCTTCTTAACCTTTTTGATAATCAAGTTCAATATAAGCTAATATAAGCTAAATAGTAAAATGTTAAAGTTGAAAAATATGACATTTTCTATGTTCTACTGTCAATAAAAATGGGCTTATGAGATTTGCAAATCATTGCATTCTGTTTTTATTTACATGTATATGGTAATCAATAGTACCTTTCTGTTTTATACAATAACCTGGTAATATAATGAAAAATCAGAGGGGATAGAGCTTTCACAGTTGCAGCTCCAAGACTGTGGAACAATATGCCACCGCATGCCAAGCAGGCTCCTTAACTTGTCATTTTAAAATCTTGTTTACATACTTTTATTCCCTGGCCTTTGACCCAGTGTGATATGCTTACTGTGTTTTTAAGTTGCTTTTTATGTAGTCCTTTATTGTTTAACTTCTACAGGTCTTATTCGTGTCAGGGTTTTTTTTTTTTTACCCTCTGGCCTCTGTTCATCTTTTATGTTTAGTTTTATTGTACAGCACTTTGGTCAGACCTGTTGTTGTTTTTCAAAAGTGAATTATAAACAAAGTGGTATGGTAACCATAAACAGTTAGTGTACAATACGCCAATTAATTAATAAATAAATAAAGCCACTTGTATGCAAATTACTGGAACAGAGCAGAAGAAAACATATCTAACAATTACTTTGGCTAATGCAAGTATCAGATTGAATAATATAGGGACTGTACCCAATCAACATCCAAAAAGCTGACTGGGACATCTCCATTTAAGACAGCTTCCTATACTATCAAAATGTAATGTCTATTGTCTGATTTCTAGTGCTGCATGTGCTGCATGTAGTTCCAACAATCAGTTTTAGTTTTACCTTCCAAATCCCCCCTTTTTACCCCCCCCCCCGCCCCCTTAAGACAGATTGTATTTAACTATCAAGTTTAATTCAAACTAAGTTATCCTAAGAATACCAAACGTCACTATATTTCAAACATTCAGTGAAAACAATACATAATACCAAAACCAGATGAATTTAAAATTGAGAGAAGCTTCTTGCCTCTGTGGTTTTTAGCTCATGCTGACCTTTTGATTTCCTGGGTGAGTTTGTTGTTGAGGGTACGAGCAGCATCTAGCTGGCCCTCCAAAGAGCAAACTTGGGCCTGCTTAGTCTGAAGCTCCTGCGTAAGACGGTCCCTGCTCGTCACCGCTGTTGTGGCCTCATCCCGAACGTTTTGGAGCTCTCGCTGCACCGACTGCAGCTCCACACGTACCTCCTCATACTTGGCAGAAAAAAGGAGGAAAAAGGAGAGAGAGGGAGAAGTATATATTTAATGATTATTTAAGGAAATCCTGCTACAGATGACTCACCCTTCATGACAATATTTGCACAATGTTATTTAGAGAAGATTAAAATTACAGGAACTGTATTTCCTTGAAGAGCAACATGTAGGTCAACTTTTTCTCTACATAAAATTTCTTGAAAAGCTAATGCATGATTTTATTCTTTTGTGTAATTCCGATGAAAAAGTGTGCATTTAAAGAAGCACTCATAAAAAAATACTAATTTCCTACAGATTATGTAATTTTTCTGTGGTCTGCCTAAGCGCTCAATGCCACAGCAGGTGGCAGGAGCAGCTTCCTAAGCCAGTGCCAGTGGATCCATGGTCAGCAGTCAGTGAGAGACTGAGCTCTCACTGATCACAGAGATACTACTTGTTAAATTTTAGATAACTTCCAAATTGAGCTTCCAATAAGAAGATTTCCTAATGTTAATCTAGATTTAGCATATTGTTTTTGGAAAAGGCAGCATTACATCAACCATAATAGGTACTAGGTGGTGCAGTAGTTAGTACTACTGTCTCACAGCAGCAAGGTTCTTGGGTTGAACCTGCTGGCTGACTCCAAAAATCCAGTCCAGTTCAGAAGCATGACAAAGTTAGATGATTTCTTACAGCCTTAACTAAACTTGGAAAGTCAACAGTACCAAATCACAAAGTTACTAATACTTGTGTTTCAGTTATTTGTCATGTAAATTGTGTGAGGAACAGTATAAGTGTTCATACTTTCACAGTTTGCTTCTCAAGGCTTGTATGGATGTTGTCCAGCTGCAGCTGTTTCTGCTTGTTTTCCCTGGACAGCCGTTCATGATGGATTTGCAGCTCCTTCACCTTTTGCAGGACCCGTCCAGACAGCCCTACTGTCCAGTCCTCCTCAGCCCAGCTCATTTCTTTCTGCCTGGGCCTGAAAGGGTGGGAAAATTATATCAAGAGCTTGAATCAAAGTTCATTTTTATTTTATTCCCTCAGAAGAAAACATTTCCTTTTTAAACTGAAAGGTCACTTGGTTTCTAAGCACTCGGGGTGACAGACTGTGCATGGCTTCACAAGGCATGGTACTACCTAACCTTTCCTATTCATAGTTGGCTGATCCAGAATAAGACAGCTTCTAAAGACATGGGATTTACCAGAACAAAGAGGAAGTATAGGCCATTTATAATCCCAGTCATATACTTATATGTGGCCTGTGTTATAATTAGTCATAAAAATGCTTCCTACCACTAATTTGTCAATCTACTTCTACAATTTTTTATATTTTTTATTTAACATGAACTGGCCTATTAGTGTGGCAAGAATAAAGGAAGGTTGTGAAATCCATGCATGATTAAGTTTCAATCTTTCATATATAAACAAAACAATGTAGGTAAATCAAATGCAAATAGTACTACAGTATAATTTATTACGAGTCATACCTAAATCAACTCTGCTGCTAAAATAAATGTAGTAACTTGAAGGTTAAGTGCGTATGCATGTGTTGGTACAGAGGATTCAATTGATAGCATGTATATCTAAACAAGCTTCAATCATGTCTGCCTTTGACTCCGTCCTGTGTTGAATGTTGCTAAGGCTTTGAACCCTCAGGAAGAAACTGGTTGTCACTGTTGGGCAGCTGTGACTCAGTGTTTCCCAACACAGCCTTCTTGCTACGCTCATGCATCACTGAAAGCTGAAAGTAAATATAATCTCTCTCAAATTTCAGGTTTACGTCAAGGTTCTTCCTCAGACAATGCCACATCTGATGGCTGTTTTAAAGGCTCTTGTTCAAAACATTGCATTTGCAAGCACTTTGTTAATACAGACAAAAAACAACAACATCACCTGGACACGGATAAGCAGAATTAAAGATGAGAGCATTGGAATGAAGAAAAGCCTGACTGAAATGGCCTGAAACAAACTCACAGAGGTTTATTAAAAGCTCAGTTTGGACTTGCATTACAGCCTCAAGGCTGTCAACACCAAACTCACATAGTTTCTGTCATAGCATACGTGTCACGTCACTAATTACCTGCTTCCTGGCAGAAATACCCGACTATGACTGAGAGGAGCCAGTCACATAACACCCAGAGTGACTACAAAGACTGGACAATAACACTTTTGTACAGGGGACTTAAGTGTCTTTTCAGTTTCATTAGGATGACATGTTAATCTGAGCATTACTAAAAACAGTATACTGGTGCACAAGCTGAGTAGTGTTAAAGGCAGCAACTATCAATTACTTTAAGTAAGGATTCATCTGATTAATCACTATTAAGCTATAGTTAATATTTTAAATTACTCAGAGTGTAAGTGTCCCCATAAAAGTAAATTAACATTTCTAATCGATAAAAATATAACATAAAAGAAAAGTAGAGTTTGAGAAGCCTCGACCTGGGAGGGTTAGGCAACTTTTCTGTTTGATAGTTCAACATCGTTCATATTACTAATTACAGGTTCTAATCAAAGACCATGACCAGTTGTTAACTGCCAGGATTGGGTTAGATCTGCAGGTGATCTTGAGGTTGAAAATCTGGTTTTTCATGCAGTGCTCGTTTCACAATACAGCACATGACTGTCAGGGTGAAATTACAGAACTTTTTAGTGTTTTTGTTCCACAGACAACCTAAAGTCAAGAAAGAGTCAATAGTGGACAAGTGGTCTCAGGCACATACAGTCCTGTGACAAAATTGTCATAGGACTTTATGTACCACTAGGGCTGGGCCATATCATACCGTTCACGGTAATACCGGTATAATTTTGGGCAACGATAGCAAGATGAAATATCGCGTTAGAATATGGGTAAAACGCGCATGCGCAGTGCCTTTGTTTTCATATGCACATGTCGGAAAAAGCAAATCGTTGAATGAAACGGATGAACCAGAATTGGTTTGTAAAAATGCTGCAACTTCAGTGCGGAACTGGTTTGGCTTTCGTCCGTCAGATACACAACAAAGCACTATTTTTGGTAGAGCATGCTAGTGGGCTGTCATTATTATCGTGTTTTTTGGAAAATACGGCACACTTAAAATCAATCCTTTGATTTTTCTGAAAATCGACAGTGCCCCTTATAATCCAATGGGCCTCATGTATGAATTCTGGTTGTGTTTACTGACCTCGAAACGATTTTATGTACACGGCGCTCGAAAAATCTGTCAAATGTTTTAGTACGACTTTGCTAAGCTACGAACCCGCACCGCTTGATGGATTGTCGGAGCATTACGGCTATCGTAGTCAGGAGCCTGGCGAAGTGATACGTACTGAGCTTCAACATAATGTTACCGTATTGTGTGTGTATAACCTCTTTTTAAGTTTTGTGGATATTATACATGGTTATGCTGAGGATATGTCGGCCAATTTCCACTGGAAATGCCTTTTGGTTAAACTTTCAGTAAGGAATTTGCATTTGCACTGTTAAATTTTTATATAACTTTCATGCACATAAAAAAAACAGCTGCTTGTTTAAGTGAAAATACATAGATTTATTTTTTTTCACTAATAAAGTTGTGGAGTTGTAAAGTATTTTGTCTAGTGTCAGTTATATCGTTATCACAAATTTTCAAATGTATATCGTGATAAATATTTTTGGTCATATCGCCCTGCTCTATGTACCACTATACTTTCTTTTTCACATGATAGTAAAACATCATATGTTGTCTTTCCCCTGCTCATATCTATTTCCTCTTCTTTCAAGATGGAGAAAGCCATTCAATATTTCATCTACCACAAGTTAGAAAACAGGCACCAACTTCAAACTAATAATTAATACAACAAATTATTTTTTTCTTTCCACTTTAAAACAGGCAGAGAAAACAGAAGGCCTTATACAAAAAGTAATGGCATGACAAAAGAAAGCAACTCTTTAAAAAAACAAACATCAGGGGATTAAAAGATTAAAAGACCATGATCAAACATGTGATGTTAAAGAATGTGATCATTTTATGCTATTGCTCAAGACACCTTAATAAATAAAGTATTGAATGTCAGTACACAAAAAAGAGATGAGATACAATTAGTACATTACAGCAGATAAAATATGAATACTACATTCGGTCGTACTGATCCATTATAATGTCATCTGATATTTGTTATCTTTGCACTACATTTAGAAAGCAATTTTATTTCTGTTTTATTTTTCTTCTGTTTATACTTATCTGACTTTAATCTGTATATAACGGGAATATTTCGTTTGTTGTATTCTGTTTTATTTCACCGAGTCACACCATACTTATTTAAGTTTATAAGTAGGCGTTTGGAATTCAACGTTATAGCAACTAAAAACGTCAAGCTTTTGGAATAACGTAGATCTCATCGTAAACACAACCTACAACAGAATACCTCAAATAAAATACACGATTACAAAAACAAAACAGCCCCATAAAGGTAGGATAAAACAAAAATCTCAAAGATGAATGTTATCCACACACACTTTGGAAATATAACCATTAATTTCTAATTAGGGACAAACGCACGTCGTCTCAGGCAGTCTCTTAATGAGGTGGACATGTGCAGATGTAGCACAATAATGATAATAATGAGGAGGAGGAGGAGGTGGTGGTGGTGGTGGCAGGGAGCCAGAAGCTGGACCCTGGCCTGATCACGAGGTTCAAAACTCAACGAGAGAAATGACAACTTCAAACTAAATCTCACTTTAACAGCCACGGAGGTAGAGAGTGAGTAACAGCCGCAGTAAGACCAGCCGAAACTAACTTTTCTACCGCCTATTAGTGTTTGTTGAGCGCTGAATGACACACAACTGTAGCGATGATGCTACCAGCTAGCCACGCAGTAAAGCTACTTACCATTCACTACTTCAGTTACAAAGGGCGCCAGCCGCCGGGGAGGCGCACACACGCAGGCGTGACAGGGCTCTGTTCCCGCTGTTAGAACCAGGCTCCGGCTCTTCACTATTCGGCCAAGATACGTTTAAGTTTAAAGCGAGAGGAGCTAGACGTTAGCGTTGACTGACAGTTTTCATAGGTTGAGACGAGATGCCGCACGTCTCGTGCAGCTGACAAGCCGGAGTCGTTGTGGCACGAGGCGGAGCGGGGCGGGAGCTGGTGACGTAGAGGCGGAATGTTTTGGGAAAAGTCCTCGCGGGGGTGTGAACCTCTGATGACCCCTAGCGACGTCCATTGCCAGTGGAAACATGATGCTGCTAATTTAACTGTTGCTAACAAACTGCTCTGTATTTTAATTTTATACATTCTTTATATATTTTATTTTTATGTTTAATACTAATATGATAAATAAATAAAACTAGTAAAAATTATTTATTTTATGCTATATTAGGACAGTTTTTTCTGTCCTGTCTTCCTCCCTTCACCTCCAACAAGTTGTTGATTGCACATTATTGTTTAAGTTAGTTTTCAGCCCAAGGAACGCACATAACCCACCACACCTGAACTATACATAGAATCTAAAAAAAAAAACAATCTGCAGGTTTAAAATTATTTTTGTTTGATGTTAACAGGAGATTAGTGAAGAGCTATTGAGTGTGGGTTTCCTTGTGGTTGTGTTTCAGGGCATTTTTCTTCTTAATGTCTATTTAAATGATGATCAAGTGACCTTTTTCCACAATTTAGTGTTTGCTTGTCTCATATTTAGTTTAACTGTGTATAATAATAATAATTTTTATTACATGACTATTATAATAAATAATAACAAAGTATATTACGCTATATAATAATATTTGAAACTGTAGTAAATGAATTAGGAATTAGGTATATAACACTTTCAATATTAAACCTCAGCAGAAACACACACGCAGAGGCACACATATTCACTGACCAACCAAAAACAACCACAAACAAAAACACCATTAGAAAATATGGTATTAGCAAAGAAATATTATAAATGTAGGTGAATAAAGTGCAAAGTTTGCCTGATTTATGAAAGAATATACAACATCCTTAAGTATAATTGTTGAACAGTTGTACAATATGTACTTTAAGAGATTAAAATGGTATTGATAGAAAAATATTTGGTGGATACATTTTGGGATGCTTACAAGTAAATAAGCAAAATAGCCCAATGATAAAGGTTTCTTAAGAGTGAAAGCTTAAATAATTATCTTCTCATACTGCCACTGTCTGGCAGGAGCAAAGCAAGGATCCACCCCTGAAGTTTGGCCACTCCACCCAACTCAAGTAAACAGGATATGCACAGACTTTTATCCCTCCCTCCCTCCCTCCCTCCTTTCTTTCTTTCTTTCTTTCTTTCTTTCTTTCTTTCTTTCTTTCTTTCTTTCTTTCTTTCTTTCTTTCTTTCTTTCTTTCTTTCTGCTGTTGTTCAATTTATGTAACAGTCCAACAAACCATTGAAATTGTACTGAACAATTAAAAGAGAATAAAACTTGAGTGTTTGCCTATCATTTGGTTGGGGATGTATAAACACAGCAACAAAAAGGATATTAATCTATGAGTCTACATGGAATAATTCTACATGGCAGCCAGGCCTCAGTATGCAAATGAAACCAGTGAGAAGTCAAAAAGTCTACTACTGCTCACACTCAGTTATTAAAGGGTTGGAGTGTTGTCCTGTTGTTGCCTCTCCAGTGGACCTGTTGTCACTTTTATTTGCACCAAGGCAGCTGATGTGGCCTTAATGTTTTAGCAGAGTATTTAGCCCACAGCAACATGCCACGCAGCAACCAAAAAACAAAAAGAAGAAAAAAAGGACATGTCAGTTTCTTTCCCTGCCCAGTGTAAGTAATGGCCCCAGCTTGGCCACTCCTATGAAAATTGCCAGCTTCCACCACTGCTGTCTGAATGTGTATTTGAATGGTTTTACTTTGTTTATCAGATGTTAGGCAGGACAATATATGTAACCCTTTAGGCTCTCATCTTGTGTTTAGCTGCAGCATTTTCTGGCATTAGATAAATTGAAACAACCAACACTTGTTGATAACAGTAAGAACTGTTTTCCCTTCAGTCACTGAGTGTAGCAGCTGTAATTAGATTATGTCAGCTATTACAACCACTCATTCTTCCAGGTAGGCTATGGATTTGAATGTAATCTGGGATTTGGTGGCTCATTGCTGAGTGGTGTGGAAACCCAGGCACTAGACTGTACCTTATGTTACCAATACAATGCCATGTACAAGTCGACGGGAAAGACTGCTAACACCTGAGTGTGTGAGAAAGTGAGATTAGGTTGGTTGTTATGTAACATTAGCCCAACAACAGTCTGGTAATTGCAGGTGTGTTTGAAAGATTATTGTCTGTCCACTGGATGCTATTTTAAAGACTGTGCTGGGTATAATAGTATGCCTATCAGCCTGAAACCAGAAATTCTGCTGGTTTAAGTTTCATGACTGTCCAGAAATTAGTCTGTCAGACTCTGAAAGTGGTTTGAAATATCTTAGAGAAAGGTGTTTGTGACCTGCAACCTTCACTACATCTTTAACGTCAGATAAGATATAAAATCATGAAAAACATGCAAAAGAAAGGTGGCAAAACAAAATTAAGTCCCCATGCTGTTATATAAATATTATATAAATATATATAATATTATATAAATGTTATATAAATACCCCACCTGAATTCTGGCCATCACACACAGAAGCACAAACGCACACGGCTCTCACAGGCGTACACTCATGTCACGAGGTAATCTCCTCTTGTCACTCACTCATTATTAATACAGGATTACTTGTATTCTCAATCCCAAACTCGCACACACACAATACGCACCCCTCACAGAAATACACGCACTGTCTGCTGGGGACCTTCACCGGTAGCAAAGCAGTCAGGTATCTGTGAGCCACCAGCTGGAGTCTCAGGAGTTTCATCCACTTTGAATGTCGCGAGCCTGTGCAGGCCCGCTGCTCACTTTACTGCTGACAGAGGTTTTACCAGGCAAGTGTTGGATAGTCATCAGAAGAGAAGATACTACAGCTTTGTAACCCTTGTTTCATGAAGGTAAGAAAAGATTTATATATATCTGATAACAAGGAGAGAAGTTAGAACAGTATGCAATGTGTTTGCATTCACATATGCACCACATTTTACTTAAATAGACAATCAAGATTTCAGAGGATTTTAGATAACTCCAGTGTAAAACAGCTCTACAGACTGTGTGCTGAGGTGATTTTAATGCTTTTGCTTTAAACACTATAGCTTCAAACATGGTGAAGGTCATATCATCGTATGACAGATACTTTTTAGTCTCTTCTTCACCAACTCTTTGTGTCTTTTCCAGATGTTTCCTTGGTCCGCTGTTTTCTCCCTTGAGCCTAAAGTGCCCGGCCAGCGAACAACTGAGGAGCTGGTAACCAACACCCTGATGTTGGAGCTTGGGGCCATGGTGAAGCGCACTGAACGCATCCGTTTGGAGAGGGCGACGGAGGGTCGTCGCCGCCGTCGCAGCTCTTCCTCTACAGCAGACTACAGCTGGCTGGCAACCACCCCGACCCCACAGCCCTATGAGCTCACTCCCAATGACCTGCTGGAGCTGCAAGACCTCTGTGCCAAAATCCCTCCTGCACAGTGTGGGCCTGTGATTGTCAGGTAAGAAAAACAGGCAGAGGTAGAGACAGAGCTAGAGATCTGGCAGGATAACGGTGAAACTGTTACTATAACTAAAAGACCTACAGATCATTTTCAAATAGCAGAGAGCTGCAGGGTTTCAGTCTAATCCATTTTACACACTAAGCAATAACTCGCTGATACTGTCAGAGCCATACTTATAAAAGTTGACTTTTAAATGTCTGTGTGAGGTTCATATCAACCCCTTATGTAAATCTGAGAATAGAAAAACTGGAGGGTCAAGATGCATGTACAATTTTCTAGTTTCTGCGACTATGCTTGCTTTGGTGTGGTGTAAATAAGACCCAGCACTAACCCTACCCCTCACTGGTAAATGCCCATAATTAATTCAACATAATGATGAATGAATTTTCAGTTAAAATAAAGCAAATGTGACTTTTTTTATTGGTGTTATCACTGAACAGAGTTGTTTAGACAAAGCGATCAGTAAATATAAGGGCTTTAAAATCTAATATTCAGTTTTATTAATCTGTGGGATTCAAAAATATGAACAAGTTGACAAAAAAGCAAGAGTCATCAATGAGACTCCATCATTAATAGTCACTTCTGCAAACACGTCCTCTGTTAGAAAAAAAAGTTTCATGCAGGCTATCCACCCTCAAACACCACCAGTGTTTTTCTTACAGTGACATTCCAATTTATTCTTCATTCTCCACCCTTACACTCTTTGTTGGCTGTGTCCTTTTTGTTTTGCCTTGGCTGTAAAGGGGTGTGAATCAAAGTCAGCTCATATTACACTTACTCTATCCCTCTTGCTGCAGGTTCAGGAGGCTGGTGTCACAGATGGAGCCCGAGGTTCACGAGGTTCCTCGGCTCTTTCGCTCAGTGCTGCGTGACTGTGTGGATGAGGCGAACGGAAACGATGAGGTTCCGACCCAGGAAGTGGTGTTTGAGAAGCAGCAGCGCAGCAAAAGCCTCTCCTTTGTCACTTTCCGCACAAAATTCCGCACGGGGTATTTCCCAAAGGGCAGCAACTTGAGAGGCTCCAGGGGGAACCTGCAGCAGCAAGTGGAATGGTCTGATGAGGAGGAGGATGGAGAAGGGGAGGAGGAGGAAGCAATCAAAGCCAGGGCGAGGAAGGGAAGGAGTAAGAGCATGCCAGAGATCACCCCTATAGAGCAGAGTGCTCATGGGTGAGAGAAGTGAGGGGAGTCAGGGGAGAAATAAAGCAGAGGGACATGTGCAAGGGAGGGGAGGAGAAACTAGGAGAGTCACAGAGAAGACTAGGTGAGCCCAGATTGTACAAGACAAGCATTAATGAGGAAGAAAGGGAGAAGTGGAAGTAGCTGCCATTAAAAAATGGGTCAAATAAAAATCTGGAAAACTTAAAAAAATTATTTTCTTCCTTATTTCAAAAGATGAAGAAAAAAATTCAAGAGAAAGGACTTAAGTAGATTTGCTCACTGGCAGCTTTAGGTAAATCTAAAAGAATTATGGTTCTGGCTTTAAGATGTCAGCAGCCTTTTGTGGTCCTGGTGGGTAAATTAGAAACTGCTGATACTGTTTTACCTACATAAGACCAAAAATACTAAAGGGAATAAATAGCTGTTCCAAATCTGACACGACCTGTTATGCTCATTTCCATATTTCAAGTACCCTTTCCTGATTTCCATTTCAAAATAATCCTGCTTTGTCTCATTCTGGGCCTGGAACCAGTTTTTATGTTAGCTCATCTCCCTTTAAAACCACTTTTGTCTGGTAACAGATGGGTGAGGTTTCTGTATCTGAAGTGGTAAATACAGATCCTCCTTCTTTTAACGGGACCCTTGCCACAGCAGATCATCTGCCTCCATCTCATCCTATCCCTACCATGCTCCTCTGTCACAGTAACGCTCTGCATGCCCTTCTTCATGACCACAGAGACCATCTCTGTGGTCTTCCTCTCTTCCTCCTACCTGGCAGCTCCATCTTCAACACCTTTTTGATATATCCACTATCACTCCCTTGACTACCACCTCTACCCTTCCTTCTCTTCCTGATGAAACCTTCCCATTTATCTGGACTTGGGACTGGCATTAGGAGTACACTGGGTTGTACACCACCACAAGCTGGGTTGACACGAAACAGACTAAAGAATATGGAAGTGGAAAAAAGAACATTTAAAGCAGTCTGAATCCTGAATTGCTGGCTACCAACTTAATATTTTGAAACTCAGACCATGTCTGAGCATCAACCAGTATAACTGTACTGTACAAGAAACCTAAGAAAATAAGGATATGTCCATGACAGCCTATTTAGTATGTTGAGTTAAACTTTGCTCAAGCTTATGGCATCTATAAACTCAAACCCATACTGTAAGGGCTCTCTGATGAATCATAAACACATCACATGAACTAAAACTTGTTACATAACAGACAGGACAGCTTTCTTCTGCAGACTCAGCAGCCACAGTTTGGCTCCAGATCACCAGCTCAGTTAACAGATGCTCTCCCGTCAAGTAAAGCAGAAAATAATTAGACTCACGTATGATTTTACTGTAATACAACATGTACTTAAGGTAATAAATAACCAATTTTCTGATCTTGTCTGTGCAATTAAAACACTTCTTTTACACAAAAATGTCTTCTTTTGTTTTAAATAGATGTTTAGCTAACATTTGAGGCTAATGTTTAAATGCATATCTGTCTGCATTGTTATAAATGAAAATAAAGAATAAAAGGCCAAATATAAACTGCAGCATTTGTTACAGCTAATTAAAGCTCTGCTGACTAATCCTCTTATCCCAAGAAAATCCCACACGTGAAAGCCAGCACCCCATTACTGTTTTATTAATGCACACTTTATCAATACATCTTCATAACTATTTCAACTTTATACACTGAAGTCAAGGCATTTGGCTAAAAGAAAAAAAAAAAAGAAAGAGCAAAAGAAAAAAAAAAAGGGAAAAAATGTTTCTTTTAAAAAGTTGTGGTCATTTAAATAACATCCTGTACATTAGGTAGATAATGGATGCGCACAGGCATCCAACCAGACACTTCCAGGGAACGTGGCCGATCGTGTGACTTTACAACCAGCGCTTACCCCTTCATACGCACTGATCCTCCTGCAGCACTCAGTAAGTGAGGTTTAAACCTTTTCTTCCATTAAACCTCTGCGAAGGCTGCTCACCACACAGCTTCATTTAAAACAGTGCCGTTATATAACATTTCTCACAGCTCACTCTTCAGTTACACTGCAAACCTCCCTTCATCTGGCTATGACTGCCTACTTGTGCCACAGCGAGTTTCCTTGTATTGTGTCACAGTTCAACAACGGTACCAATTTGGCAAATGAAACAAAACAGCAAATAAAGATTTAAAAAAAAAAAAAAAAATCCACATCAGTTTTGGATGGTAGAAGGTTAGGAAATGCTGATAAATGAGAGACAGTCATGTGGTTCCAGTAAAAAGCAGGTAAAATATGAAGCAACATAATCTGAGGAGCAAGTCCAGTTGTAAAGTTTGGCTTTGTAATACTTACTATAAAGGATGACGTGTGGTAAAAGAGGTTAAACAAAACAACCATAAGACAGTTTGCAGAATCAAACCATTAAATTAGAGCCATTTTGATTAAATGCTTATGAATAGTTGGTCAATGTAGGATACAGAGCAGCTTTCTGCTCTTAAAGTGGGGATTCAAAGATCATTTATTTGTTTTATTCGAGAGTTCAACATCTTCATTTTCCATTGAAGAGTCAAATTAAGACTGAAAAGTTTGTGGCTTGGGACAAAACGACAGGTCCGTATTCGAGTGGATCCCAAAAGCCTCCATGAAATCGTGATAGAAGAGTCTCGAAATACATCCTCTTAGTCTAGCTTTAATTTTATTCTCCCTCATTCGATACCGTTTCCCCGTTCCTCATTCCTTTAAGCAAAGAAGACGACAAAGATGATGAAGAAGACCACGAGGACCAGAAAGATCTTGATCATCAGCCAGCGGTTGGAGGAGACCGACTGGAAGTATTTGAGGATCTCTGTGTGGGCAGCCTCCACGTTCAGCTGGGTGTCCTCCACGTTAGCATCGATCCTGTGAGAAGGAAACGGAGCAGTGAGAAGAGTTTTTATCTCTAATCAGTCTTGTTTTATTTCAAAGACTAAGATATTACACCAATACTTACACCATTAATGCAAAAAAAATAAATAAAATCAATTTTTTTCAGTTCTGCTTTAGTTTGTTATTTGTTTATTTTAAATAGAAAATTGCTAAGATTTGTTATTGCTTTGATATATATGGGCTTCTGTCTTTTAAATTTTAACACCCTCTAGCGGTTAAAATTGGTGTAGGTTGATTGCCTTCCAGGGCTATTAATGAATCCTGACTGATGAGTATTTGTCAGACCCTGATGAAGACTTGTAGTCAATACGTGCTGATCTGTTTTACTTGCTGAATTGTTCCAAGAATACATTTGTTATATAATTTTATCCCAACACAGGACCAAAAAAAAGAAAAAGAAAAAAAAAGTGCTTTTATGTTTCAGGCTTTTTTTTCCAGCAAGATTGTTTTTCCAGTCCTTTCTTTCAGTTGTGTGACACGTTCTTTTATCCTACTGAACCTCATCTGTCTCAATCTCTTCCTCACCTCTGGATGGTCTCCTCTTGCTCCTTGACCATGTGCGCCAGCTGCTGAAATATGGAACCCAGTTCCACGATGGTGCTCTCGATGTTTTGCATGGTATCTGCACGGCTCTGGATGTACGAGTCCTGTTGCCACAACACAGCATTTTAGTCTAATATTTAGCTAATCTTGGATAAAAGTCAGTCAAGTTTGACAACAGAATAAATTTTTTGAGCCACCTGTCTGACTTCAGCAAACAAACACCAACACCCTACCTGCTCATCAATAAGCTGAAGCTGCAAAGGATTACTTGGAGAGTCCATATCGATAGCAACATCCCCCCGGCTCCGGGACTCTTCCTGCATCAGGACCGAGCCATCTGCAGAGACACAAAACACACACACGTGATCACAGAAATCCTCTATGGTACGGGCGGAAAGCAGAAAGAACAGCGGGCACATACAGTAGCTAGTTATACCCGCTTGGAGAGTCGAGACGTTCCCGGGAAATACCTTTGTAATTTGCGGTTGTATAGCCCTGGTAGTCATTGCGCGGCTCACGAGCTGCATGCGGCTCCTGGGCCCCTTTTTTGCGGCTCCCTAAAATATTTTGTAATTCTTGCATTACAGATGACCAAATACAGTAATAATCATTCACAAGGACTGCCAGCAGTTCCCTATCACAACAGCTGCTGTTTTGAAAAGTACACTGGTATTTAAAACTTATCCACAACCAGTGCCGTTTTTGAAAATGAAGGAAAAAACAAAACACCTAACCATCAAACAACATGCTCAGTGCAAGTACGCCAAAAACAGAAATAAGGGAATGTGTGCACAAGCACAGAAAAACTATATATTCTGTTAATATGTGATTTATTATGCTTATGGTTTTCTACCGTAGGGTTTATACCCATGTACCTTTTAGCAGGTAATAACACAAACAAGTAGAGAAATGTAAATATTTATACCATCATCCATCAAGATAACTAAATGCTGAGTGCATCATTTCAGAGATTAGAATCGAGCCAATTATATATTTAAAATAATGAAACCAGTCTTAATATCCATCTTTTTTTCTTTGTAAAATCTCTAGGCATTCACAATGAGCATTTTGCTTGATATTTGGCCAAAAATGCTAAAATAAAGTGAATTTATGAACATTTTACCAACTGTGTAAATGCACGTACAGGAAGCACTGGAGCTCGGTGCGTTCATTAAAGGGTCTCTGTTAAGAAGCCTGCTCGGCAAAACGTTTAATCATTCATTTTAGCAGAATGATGAACTGAGCAGGAGCCAGACGTCGAGTATTTTCCTCCACGACACAACAAAGAAATACTCACGGTGTGTTCACTCTAATACACATGTTGTATGCTTTGAGCAATGATTATTCTCATTACTAGTGGGAAGTTCACACTTTCAGAGAATACAGGTGATATAAATGTGACATTACAGCAGGCAGTGTGAAGCCAGCCATGTTCACGGTCCTCTTTTACCCTTGTCTGTATTACTAGCGCTGCACGTCAGTTTATACATGTGCAACATTAAAGGTCCACAAAACGATTAAGACAGAACTTTTCACACAAACAATATTCAGGATAGAGTGAACACGCCTTAATTAAACTACAAAACATGCTTTGTTAACCTGCTGTAGCCATTTACTTTCATATGAGACCCTTGTTAAAAATCTGAATGAGCAACTTGAAGCGTGAAGCTGAGATGTGGAGAGACTTACTGAAGTTGTTGGCCATGAGAGGAGAAGACGACGCCGGAGGCTGGGAGAACTGCTCTCTCCTGCTGCGCTGCTGCTTCAGGTTCTGAAGAACAAGAGTCAAAGAGAGAAGAAACCTTCACCTTATCCAGAGCTTTAGGTATTAGCATTGTTTGCTTTTGTGTGCTGACGCAGCTCTCACCTCTGTTCTGACTTCTAGGACTGATTTGAAGTCATTGGACATCGATGCCAGCTTGGACTACAGACAAAGAATGACAGAGTTAAAGGAGGTGCCGATTCACTTTTGTTACCATTTAAAAAAAGAAAAGAAGGAAAAACAAAACCCAAAACTACAGAAAATTCGCATTCTCTCAGTCAATAACTACATCTTTTCTTGATTTTAAAATTGTACACAAAGTTTTACAGAAAGGTTCAAAGTTGTTTCCTTTTAGATCAACTTCAAATTCAGAATCAGAATCACAATTTTTGTCAATTTTTTAAACAAATGATTAATTTATCTTGGGGTCTTGATGCAAAAAAAACAAACAAAAAACCCCAAAACAAAACGTTGGTACAGAAATAAAAAACAGAATATATGCTATATACAGTGTATATAATATATACATATATTTAGGAATATATACCAACTACCTACAGATATGAGAGATGAGATACTGAGAAATTAAGTCATATCTAAAGGTTATGACCAGGAAGGGGACAGGGTGCAAAATATAGATAGAGCTCTCATCTGCAGTCATCTTGCACTCATTCTGATCCAAATAAGCAAAAACAAAACGCAAACAACAACAAAAAGCAGCAGGATTTGCACAAATACAGTACAAAAATATACCTGTAATGACACCACTATAGTGTTTGAGTGGGTCTGAATGTGTCGGCCACCTGGAGCTCCACGGGACCTCACCAAGTCCTGCAGCTGTGCTATCTGTTTGTTTAGACTGTTAATGTCCTAAAAGACAAATAAAAGAAGGGAAAGTTATAATATAAAGTTTCATTAGATATAAAAAAGGACTGACATGCTTTACTGAAGAGTGACAGCTCAACTCACCTGCTTAATGATGTATGTCAGCTCCTCGATTTCTATCGCCTTGTCATCAAACAGAGATTTTCTTTTTGCCACTAAAACATGAAAATAACATCATCTAGGTCAGCACTTTGGATGATATCACACTCAGAAATTTGAAATGAAGCTGAAATTACATTAAAATTAACACTTACAAATTGTGAGCTTTTCCAGTTTGGCAAATGTATTGCTCAAGTCTTTCCCAATTCTCCTACAAGGAGACAAAAACAGAGGTTAAACTTTCTCTACTAGTCACAGAACCAATAATTATATTTGCTTCAAATCTCTTTAGTACAACTCTTTAACTAAAGGTAAGAGAAACGGGTATTAAACCATTTATATGC